GAGACACAGATATAAAACTGCAATACAAACTTAAAACTAAATGAGACAAGAAGGCACTAAAAAAAAAAAAAAAAAAAAAAATAATAATAATAATAATAATAATAATAAAGAAAAACAGAGAAAACAGGAAGACAGATTACAGGGTGTTAAAAGCCAGGGTGAATAGATGAGTCTTGAGTTGAGATTTAAAAGTACAGATAGATGGAGCTTGCCTAATTGCAGGAGGAAGGCTATTCCACAGCTTCGGCCCAGCAGCAGCAAAAGCACGCTCACCACGTTTTTTGAGTTTAACTTTAGGGACTGTAAGATGGCCAAGGTCAGTACAATAATTACATAAATAATATCTAAATCATACAAATTATTATTTTAAATAAGTATTGCTAAAAGCCAGATGCTATGTAGTGATCTTTAATTTGGAGTGGAAACAAGTGGAGTGACTTTATCGCATCAGACTTTGCTCACAGCTGATTGGTTCAAGTTTGGTTTGCATCCTCTTGCCTGGAACATAACATGCCCCGGACCAGGTTAGCCGTGGAGCGCAAGTTACAATGGAGATAAACACTGCTAAACCACTTTCATGGTGCCTGAAACCCAGGGTTGGCGCAAACTAAACTGAAACATATCAGGCGAGCCACCTAAACCGGCTTCATGGTAAAGGCCCCTGGTGTATTCAAGAACTAAATCTGGTTTATTACATCTCTATCCCTCTTTCACTTTTTCTTCTTTAGGTGTGATGAGTATGTAACACAATTGGACGACATGCAGAGGCAGCTGGCTGCGGCGGAAGATGAGAAGAAGACTCTGAACTCCCTCCTGCGAATGGCCATCCAGCAAAAACTGGCCCTCACTCAGCGACTGGAGGATCTGGAGTTCGACCACGAGCAATCCCGAAGAGGATCCGGTGCTGGGCCAGGTGGACGTGGGAAGGCTTCATCTGGGCGTGGCAGAGGACCGTTGTCTTTTTCCAGCCCCCATGTAAGTCCTAGACTTCCCTGTAAGAACCGACCACAACCACACGGCCTCATTGGAAGTCCTGCGGTTTTCTGCAGCGAGAAGTATAAAATTCTGTGTGATGCTGGATCCGATTAACATCTGTGTGTAACTGTCACTCATCAGCATCCTCAAACTAACTAACACTCCTTTTACTGTATGTGTGCTTGGGACAAAACAACACTAACATGTTTGTACTAACAGTTCTGATGTGTTGACTTTTGTTCTGTAGATCTACCTGAGAGAAGGGTTGTGTTGGTAATGCCATTTCACCTGCTAGGGTTATCACGATCACTACACCTGCTAGTTCACTGAAAAGAATGTCATCGTTCATGGAGTTTTCCAAAAATTTCATAATAGGTGAACTCCAATATTTGGGTGTTTTTTGCAACTTTTAGTATCGTCGAGTGCCGTTTAAAAAAACTTTTACTGAAATTCACCCCCATGTCATCCAAGATGTCCAGGATTTTTCTCCATATTATGGACTTCAATGGGAACCAAACGGTTCAAGGTCCAAAAGAGAGTTTCAGTGGAGCTTCAAAGGGCTTTAAATGACACCAGACGATGAATAAGGGTCTTATCTAGCAAAACGATCGGTCATTGAAAAAATAAATAAAGTTTGTTTTATAAGCTCAAATGGTCACCTTGCTCTGTTCTGTGATGAGCGTTCGTGACTCCTGTTCAAACTCGTTCATCAAAATGTACAAATCTTTTTTCGAGTCATGACTCGATGACTAGATGAGCCATGACTAGATAAGACCCTTATTCATCGTCTGGTGTCGTTTAAAGCCCTTTGAACAGTTTGCAGTTTGCACTGAAACTCTCATTTGGACCTTGAATCATTTGGTTCCCGTTGAAGTCCATTATATGAGAAAATCCTGGAAAGTTTTCATCAAAAACCTTAATTTCTTTTCGACTGAAGAAAGAAAGACATGGACATCTTGGATGACATGGGGGTGAGTAAATTATCAGCAAAAGTTTTTTTTTTTTTTTTAAAGTGAACGACTCCTTTAACAAGCAAATATATTTTGTTTTAGCTAAACTACTGAGACATAGATATCTATGAACAAGGATGGAGAAAATGAAGACAATGTCTAACCATCTTAATATATATCTATGTCCACATCTAAATTTGACTTTTCTGTCTGAACCCAATGTTTCTACTCGAACATAGCACTGATAATACTGAATGTCATTGAGTTAAACCCAGTTTCACAAAGCTAGTCTGTTAATCTCTGTGTCAGTGGGAATAAATCTGTGTAATCCCAAATGAGACGCACTTTACTGAGCCTGCTGGGAGATTTGCCATCCAGGTTGCTACCTGCAACCCTAAAGGACATAATTGATGCTGCAGATTACCGTATTTTGCTAAAAATATATATAAAAAACGAAGGTCTTTTGTTAAATATGATGTCTATATTTGTGACAAGATTTCTTAAAGATGATGTCCCTGTTTGCGTGCCCAGAAAAATGCATTAAGAAATTTTAGACTGTCTTTCTCCAAGATGAATTTAGTTTCAACTGTGATTTCATGTCGTTTCATGTCTTTGTTGATTTTTTTTTTCATCCTACTTCATTAAGCCAGCATAACATACATTGTCCATGTTGTGACTCTGAACCACTGTAGCATGCATGATCTGCTCTCAGTCTCAAACCTTTGTATTGGATTGCATGTTGTCTGATGCATGTTGAGTCCTCTGTGTCCTGCTGTCCATTGCATCAGAAAGAGTGAGTCTTCTGTTTTGCTGTTTACTAATGGGTCTAACTGGTCTCATTGTTGACGGTAACATTCACTTTGTCTACTTCCATGTGAATATTTCTTATTAAGATATATTATTTAAAGTCATAGCTCATTAATTACTTACCTTCATGTCGTTCCAAACCCATAAGACATTCGTCCATCTCCGGAACGCAAAGCACTTGTCACATTGGAGTCACATTGATTACTTTTTACATTTCTGGGGCTTTAAAGTGGAGGGACAGAAAGCACTCAGATTTCATCTAAAAAAAATTTTTATTTGGTTTTGAAGATGAATGAAATCCTTACAGGTTGGGAATGACATGAGGGTGAGTTGTTAATGACAGAATTTTCATTTTTGGGTGAACTATAACTTTAAGTTACATTTGGATAATTTATGATGTGATCATTCTGATGATTGTTCTGTTTCTCAATTTTGCAGTAATTGTATTAGCTCTGGCTGCAAATGGCTATTTCCCCCTTCCTTCCTTCACTCTACACTATACGTCCAGAATACACATGCCTGGTTCAATTTGGGAAACAAGAAATTTGTCCCTGGATGTGGCCGCAAGGAAACGCAGGCTCACATGTAAAGCCGGTCGGTCTGTGTAAACCTTATTCTGACTGTTACTGTGGTATTTTATTTTTTTCTGCTTTGTATTATTATTATTATTTTTCATTATTATTATGTAAGAGATGCACATTTCAGTATACTTAGCACATTTATTGTTTTGCTTTTGCAAATTTTACGTATTTAACTGAAAAAATAATAATATAAAGAACTATTTGTTTGTTTATAGTATTGTAAATGCTTAACTGCCAGGTTCTAAGCATACTCCAGGGAGGACAATTATGTTAAATAAGCCTATGTTTCTTGTTCTTTTCAATAGTCAAACATTCTAACTGAACATTATCTTGCTAGTCATGTTGTGTAACACCACCAAACGAACAATGACTTTGACTGGAGTCAATTTTCATAGTAGGTCAAGAAAATGTTAAATTCAAGACATTTAAGATTTATAAAAACAAATCGATTCCAAATTGGAATACTTTCTACGTGTTTTGCCAAATACTACATTGAGGTCTTTGTATTTTACAATGCAATACATTATTTTTTCTTTTATATATATATAATCCTCTCCTAAGACCTCCTGTGCCTTTTTATTGTTTTTTGTTTTCTGTTTTTCTGTCAGTTTCGCTACAGGTCTTAACCATTAATGACCCAATGTGAACGTCTAGTTTGGATAGTTATTAAACACTCCTTTTGAATTTCAACTCAGATTGCTTGTTTGGGAGATTTTAAATGGTATTAAGGATTAGGTGTGTTAAAATCATACATTCCTTTGAGGAAGAAATGATTTCTGATGGCTGTCTGTTGACATTGTTAGTCATTATTTTCCTGTGTAACCTTGATAATATTTTGTTTGTATTTCAGCAAGCAGAAAACTTTGCCTCAGAACATTTGTGCCATTTCAAATTGAAGACATTATGAGTTTTAAATGACCTTTTCCCTTTTTTTTTCGTCTTTTGACCACAAATTAAGTGCAATTTTGTGCTGTTTCTGGAGTGCATGCGATAGTTTTCTATTTGCTGAAAACCGCTTCATCAGCCATGTCATAGCTTGTGACCGAGTTTTAGTTTATTTTTTACTCATTTGTATGAAATGACCTAATGTGTTTGTTCATATTTATTCATAACATATCGTTCAGTATTAATGACTAGGTTTATATGCATTTTAACTGGCACATGCGCTGCCTCTCTTTGCATTTCTACTTGAAATCTTACAGGTATAGTGTAAGGTAAGCTATACTGCATCACCTGTTTTTGTTTTGTTGTTTTTTTACAGTACTGATTTCAATGTTGTGCTATTTTTCTGAACATTTGAGATTCCCTGTAGTTTATCATGAGGAACACATAGGCCCATGTCTGTCTTAACATTTCTCATTTGACAAAAAACGAGGAAAATAAATAAACTAATGTGAAATAATGCATTTGTGTGCAACTGAATCTTTCTATATAGTTAGGTAACGTGTGTTTATATATGTATGAATGGGCTCTGTATACATATTATTTTACGTTATATACTATATTAATTATTATATCAAAATCGTAATATGGAGCGCTCACTGCTTGTCAGTCAACAGCTAATATGCAGAAATACGTGTTTAATCTATTATACAAATGTATTCGAATTTATTTTTTAACAATAATGTGTATTTGCGTAAAGTTCCATTATGTACAATTTTTTCCCATTTTGATCGGAACTTCCGGTAATTTTTTCATGGTTTCCGCCTCTCGAACGCCATGGGCGTTTCCAAACAAAAGACAACAGAGGGCACTTCAGAATGGGAGGTCAGTCAAACTTTGTTACTGCTGTTTTGTTTGATGTGAAGTGTATAAATATGGATAGTAATTTTACTTTGTAAAGTTGGCTTTATAGGATCCATATACACGCGGCTCACAAACTTGAACTGGATCGACTAGTTTTGCTTCGACAGTTGTTGCTCAATTGTGGTGTCTTAAAGTCTACTCTGCTTGATATTTTGCATTTCAAAAGCTCTATAACCAGCTGATATTGTTCGTCTAAACTTATAAGTCGGTTTGTTGGCTAAAAAGTCATATAAAATAAATACTCTCAAAGTGTTTTTGACAGTCTTGCATTCCCCGTGTTTTTGCTCAATGTAATATTATTCATGATATTGCGACATCTTCTGGCCGAAATGTGCACTGCCTTCATTTTAATAGAATGGATTATTTAAAGTCCCAATGAAATCAAGATTGAAGTTTTTTTGTCTTTTAGTATGATTATTTTAGCCTTACTGTTGTCTATAAGCTATTGTGCTCCAAAAACAATGACAAAATTCACATTTATAAGATTTGCATTCAAACTCACTCCGAGTCAACACATTGAAAAATACTGTGTGTAATACAGACACTTCAGTTGGCCTTAAAAGGATTAGTTCATCCAGAATTTTTTTTTTACACTCATGTTGTTCTAAACCTGTATGACTTTATTCTTTGTAAACGACAGAGAGCTTCCATGAACAGCTGCGAATAGACAGCCAGTTCCTGAAATCGGACCGACGTCTTGATACAGAACTGGTGGATAAACTCATTCTGCAGCTGAACCGAATCTACCCACAGATCCTGACTGACAAGGAGGCCTCCAAAGTAAGAGCTCCACCTTCAGTAGTACAGAGAAACTGTCCAGTAACATAACTGATTTTTCCAATAATGATGTTCCCAAACATTAGTTCAGGGATTTGGATGTTCCCACCTGTATCAGGCTGGCAGAGCTGCTGTCTAATCTTCAGGAGAAAGGAGAAGAGGCATGTCGAGAGTTTTACCGCGCACTTCACCTCCACGTGGAAGACGTTTACTTCAGCTTACCAACGCGCCTCCGACTCAGAGGTTTGGCAGAATCAGCATTTTCCACTCATAACCGCGTCATTCTTTTGAGAATATTCATTTGGTTTTTGCCACGCATGTCATTTTTCTTATTCGCAGTGGTTGTAGAAATGTATTTAAGCCTGATATTAAGTCTGGTGCTCCACACTCACACTCCTCTCGGTCAAAAGTGGCAAAACACCTCAAATGTAACTTATTTGAGTAAAATTAATGTCATATTTCTGTTAAATAATATTATATATTTTGTTTTTTTTTTCAATTTTGAGGGAGTTGTATGGTTAGTAATATTAATGCAATACTTATGATCCATTTGTTTCCTCAATTTTTGCAATACAATTAATCTATGACTTTTATTTCTTTTAAAAAAATCATTAACCCCTACATTGCTGTGTTTTATTCAGCAATGTGGCTGATTTCTCTGTATTTTCATGTATTAATAAATTTCATTAATATTTTTGGTGGTCATTTTAACCATGGCTAGTAAAAGTGTCACTTTTTTATTAAGGACCATTTCCAATCATGTCCACAATTTGTGTGTGTTTTCACATAGCAAGTGCCATAATAGTCACCAAGTGCCTTACCATTCCAAAGGAGTAAAAAATCGAAACTTCTCGGTCAAAAGTGACCGTAGAGCACTTGATTTGTCGCTCATTTTTGGTTTGACCACCAGGTTGTGTTCATTTTTGTAGAGTCCGGTGATCCAGTCAGCCCAATCCCAATTCCCATAGACAGACACGTATTAAATGACCACAGTAAGTGAGCTTATTCTGTGACCACACATTAGTAAACGCACTCAATTTACACAAGTGATGTTCCATCGTGCTTTTTTGTCATTGCACAGGTCCGTTTTTCTTCCTCAGTTGTTTCAGTGTGGCTGTAGGAGCAGCCCTGCTGTATTACTATGGTGGTAAGTGCACCAACATGTTAATATCTTCATACCCACATCAACACATCCATCCCCTAGACTGAAAGCGCTCAATTTTTTTTATCTGCAGAGTCCAAGCAGGTGACAGGCTCCAGCAGCGCTCTGGGTCTGGCTGCGATGGGTCTCAGTAGAAAAGTGCGAGACGTTCTCATCTGGTACACAGAAGATGGAAAATAATGGATTTTTCGCTGCCTTGATAAAAATGTTTTCAAAAATACTAAAATATCCAAGTCAAACATATCAAAAAATATTTTAATCCAGGTTAAAAAAAATGTACATACTATGTATATACAGAAATTATTGCCATGAGGCAAAATTCCAAAGATTTAGCTTTAAGGTTTCGTGCCTAAATATGGAATCTCTTGTTACAATTTTAAATATAACAATATAGTGATTTATATAACTACAAACAGTTATGCATTTGAAATAATAGCCATTTACATGCCATAAGAAGAGCAGGAACTCATTACTATTAAACAAACTCTCCTACACTAAAGTATTTAGTTGAAGTTAACATGCTGCTAATGATGCAACCTTTATTTTATTTGTGCATTTATTGTTAAAAACAGACCTCAAACTCATTTCTATGTTATGTATAGTTAATACCTTTCAATTCTCAAAGACTGTCTAAAACTATATTAGTAAACACAAGGACACATGGGGTCCAGACTTCCAAATTCACTACACTATTTACTATTTAGCACATACAAAACTGGATAAACATGACAAATCATATAGATCAGCATGTCATCATATTTTGACACGCAAGAAACTAAAGACTACCGGTAAATCTGATCCTCTGAGTATTGGGAGCTTGTTACTTTTTTTTTGTTGGGCTAAGGTTTAAATAGATATGTTTTATTTGAGCATGTTTATATAGTTTACTTTTATACTGACCGCATGTTTGCACTGGTTTGTGTACTAATAATTGATATCAACTTGTGGCCTTGTTTCTGCAGTGCGATTGTACAAAAACGGTTTTTAAAATCTTTTTTGAAACTGATATTTTCCGCCTTGAAACATTCACAAAAGTTCACTGAGATACTGTATTTGTGTCAGGGTTTAATAAAACTTTTATTAGGCCAAATGAAACAATGCTTTGGAAGTGTTACTAATGTATTTGAATCGATTTTTACGTCTCGCTATACCAAAACAAACACCTGTGGATATGGATGAAACTGTAAGTAGCTCAATAATTGATCTCTGCTCTGTAATGATGACTAAATACACTTCTACACATACACAATCCTGTTATCTAAAAATGAAAAACATCTTTGGTCTTTTATTTAAACGATATCCATATAAAATGTACAAAAAGTTCAAGAAATATAAAAACATTGCATTGGATCGTGAATAATCACAACAAATATGAAAACACCAAACAACATTACATTTCTGAAAGAAAAGGACATTGTAGATCCTAGTCAGTAGAGGGCGCTCTTATATAGTCAATGCAGACAGACGACATGCATTCGGCTAACAAATTGAACAACAACAAAGCTAGCTATGATTTTTTTGGGGTGACTGATAAAATAAAAGGTGCTATATTTAATATCATATATATTCAATTATCATTTATATTCAGTGTAGTGAGAAAAGATCCTTTCTGGACAAACTGCATTTATAGATTAAGAATCAGTTTGAACGGCAAGTGCCTTGTTTTCAGACTTTTTTGACCTCTAACCTTACTTTCATAATCATGCAGCAAGGCCTCTAAAGGTAAGACAAACCCAAACGTGCTGTGCGAGAGAGTTGTTGTGTTTAACCACACATAAATGTATTTATATATTTCCTCTCAATAGGCCGCCAATACAGTGAGTGGTGACTATATCAGGTAGACAGTGTGAAGGCTACATGTGAGGTGAGGTGTTACTGTTCATTTCAGGATTTAAGGTATCACATGGACCATTCTTTGGGACAAGTCATAAAGTAATGATTCTATTAGATATTTTCTTCCAATTTTATCATTACTGTGCATTATGAAATTAAACAATTACCCATATAACAATTAATTGTAATTGAATCCACAAGTTATATGATCTAACCTTTTATCACCTCATTTCTGTGACTAAAAACAAAGTTTCTTCATGTAAAACATTAGGCATACTTACATAGAGGCACATTTGAGTATTTCATGACTACATTTGATATTTGATAATAAATGTCCACCCGTAGGAAACCCTGAGTAGCATTTCCTGTTAAGAGTTGTTCTCATCTGGTCTTTGGACGCCGAATGCTGTGATGAAAACATTTACTACTACGATGATAAACACGAGAGCTGTGACGATGTTCTCCAGAAGATTCAGTATGAAGTGTTTACTCGAGTCATTCAGATTCCACTTCACTGCAGAACAAAAGCAATAACAGCAGCTCATTATGTCATTCAGACGTTTTACATGAAAGAAAAGGTAATTAAACTGATTCAACTGCTTCTTAAATTAAAATAAAAGGGCAAATTTGGGATTATAAAATAATTATATGGTTTCAAAATCTACATCATCACACACTTTACTCATTGCTCAAGTTCAAAAAGAACCTTCATGATTACTGTAAAACCTTCAATATTAAAAATGTTTTTAAAAATTTTCCCCAATTACAAGATGATTGTGTTAAAAATGGATTCCAGTGTAAAGCACAGAGTTAGTTAATGATTGCTAGAAACAGGAGGCTGGGTGCTGTTTAAGTTGAAAAAAGAGGAAGCAATATTTCTCAAATTATGTCCGAACCTCTTTCTTACTCACTATGTGGACAAAAAAAAGTAAAAGAGTTCCTAATGGGAAACACCAAAATGTCCATGATTTTACCACCTGACACATGCATCATGAAATACTAAATATATTACAATCGTTCTGCTACCTATACTAGCACTATATTAGTGGTTTTATTATATATTTTTTTATTATGAAGTACTGTCGCCTTGCTTTTGGCTTGCTCAGTTGGGGTTATTTAGTGTTTAGCAATATTATTGATCTGTGTTGTACTACTTTCATGTTATCACTGTGAAGCTGCTTTGATACAAGCTGTATTGTGAAAAGCGCTATATAAATAAATGTGACTTGACTTGACTTGTGCACATGAAATGCTGTGTATTTGATAAAAACGAACTGACTGTAATCTCTTTTTTTTAGACATTATTATTTGATCGAATTACTAAATGTTATTAAAGTTCACCTGAAACCCTGTACAACTTTTCTTTCTTCGGAATTGTTATTTTTATAGCAAGATTTTCATTGAATAATGACTTAAATTTCAATATTTTCCTCACACGAAGTTATCAAATGATCTCAAAAGACTTGGAATCCAGTATCTACATTGTGCTGAGTGCTTTTATCATGTTTCTTTTTGTCCTTTTTTAGAGCTTAACACTTCCAATCTATGGAGGAGAGCATGAACATTCCTCAGAGCGTCTCTCGTGTGTTCATACAAACTCATGTGGGTTTGGAAAAACATGAGTAAGTAAATTTACTCAAAACAAAAGGAAATATTTGCATACTGCTTTACATACTACACAACCAATTTAAAAAGGTTTCATTTAAATGGTTTCTTATGGTCTTAAACGTGTGCGTGTGTGTACATATATATATGAAAGTTATATGATTGGATATCCTATGGAAGGTGGATTTTTAATTCATTCTTGTCTCTATATTTTGGGTTCTCTGTTTGGATGAGCTTCTCTCACCTATGAAGATGAGCAAGACCCCCACTAGGATCTGCAGGATGAGGGAGATGCTGATGAGGCTGATGAGAGGGGTGTAGAAAGAGAACGTGGGGCCCAGCTCCACGACGGTCTTCAGCTGGGATGCGTTGGCCATCAGCAGGGCTATATCCAGCATGCTCTCCGCTGCACTCTTCTTATTGGCGTAATGGTTCATGTTAATTGGGGTGTTCCTTGACCAGCGGTTCCGCTGAGGATGCTGAACACAACCATGAAAACACACACGGGATGTTACTTATAAACAGACAAGGTAATAAGTACATGAGCTTCATGCAATATTTACAGATGGGGAAAATAATCTGTGTAAAAGTGTTATTCTAGAATCATTTTTATACTAGTATAGATTTTTCAATTGGAAATATATATATATATATATATATATATATATTTTAATTCACTAAGTTAGTCAAATTTGTATTAATTTTTTATATAGATGATAATTTATTCATTTTTTTAAGTTTTTGTTTGTTTCCAGTTTATTTCCAGTAATTTTATTGCTTCAACTTAAACTTATTTCAGTTCTCTGGCATGCAAGACAACATTTCTCATTTTATTATCCTTAATTTTCTATAATATTTTTTTTCGTTAATAATGACCCTGTTTGCAAACAAGTTTGGTATTTTACACTTAAGGCCCTGTTTTAAGATCGTTTCTGATGAAATAGAACGGTTAAGATTGAAATTTGGAGTGACACGTGCTGCGTGGAACTGAACTGAAAGTCAGTTGTTTTTTCCTTTAAGATATGAGAAGTTTGTGGCATGTGTGAAAGGAACGGGTGAGCAGTTGGTTGACCCTGACACGATTTCCTTCCCTCAGTTTTAAACACAAGTGTATAGTATATTGAGATTCACTAGTAGGGTTACAGAAACCTCTGTACCACAGACTTTTTTCAAATGTCAAATTAATTCCGTAAAGCTTTCATTCAAGTAGAATTTTGTATTTACGACTGATTGTTTCTTTAAATGAAAGCATAAGAAATCTTAATCTTATCCTGTTAAAGCTGCTTTTTGGTTGATTAGAAATCCTCTCTGTGATGTTCAACAACTACACTATGAAGCATTAGAGTCACTGGACTAACTGGTCACATTAACAGAATACAAATAACAAGACTTGCAAAAGTCATATTATTAAGTAATAAGACTCGAGAGGCATTGCAACACAGTTATTTTACGGGCCTTTATCGAAGGCACAGTAGGTACACAGTAGGTAGCTACACTTTAGGTACACAGGGTGTAGGGATTGGACGGTATGAAATTTTAATTTCACGATTATAGTGACAAAAATTATCGTGATTATCAATATTATCACACTTTTGTTAAAACGAGATGAAAGTGTTCAAAAACAACTTATGCCCACATTGAAACATTTTTGAACAAGTTTTATATTTAATAAATCATCAAACAACAAATAAAACAAGCAGCTCTATGCACTTTTTAAAACAAGATTCTATTCTGTGGCATTTCCTTCCTCATAATGACCGTCGTCAATAGCAACGCATTACACAGCACACATCCACGAATCATTTCAAGTACTTGCCGTCTTGACTCTTGCGTTTTTGATTGTATTGAAAATGAAATCAGAGATTATTTATTATTTAGAGTTTGATAATACTGTTCCGATCATCTTGTTTGTATGACTTGTGTACGCTGTACAAAATGGATTTAACAGGTAACGATTTAACAGGTAATCTCAATTCAATATGTCCCTATAACGTAATTGTGGTAAAAAATCTATTTAATAAGTGTACAATAAATATATAAAGTTGTATTATTATCTCATAAATGTTACCTTTATTTGAACGTGTTCATTCGTCTTTGGCTCAAAGCCACTTGCTGCAGACTTTTCTTTGCAGAAGCTTCACGTTTATTTCAAGTGAGTGAGATAACATTTATCAACTCATAATAACATTTTGTGCCCAATTTTTTCGTTCATCTTCCGAACACAAATGAAGATATTTTTGATTAAATTTGAGAGGTGGATCACTGCTACATAGGCTGCCTAAGGGATTGAAACTTGACGGCCCAGAAAGTCATTGAAGAAAATGTTTAAATATTCCATGTGACTAGTGGCTCAACTATAAGTTTATCAAGCGACGAGAATACTTTTTGTGCGGAAAAAAACTCAAATATTCTCTTTTATAGGCTTGAGACGAGAGTTCAAGCGATTTCCACAACGCATGAAAGTCAGAGAAAGAGCTCTCTCTTGTATGAGTATGCCTCTGCCTAATACGGCTCTGTGAACACAAAAGCATTATTCTTCTCTATTATGGTAAAAGAGAGGTCAGGCTGCAGGTGTGAGCCGGCACTTTTGGTGTTACATTATTATGTCTGCTTTGTGTTACTTGACTCTCACCAGTTCAACTCCCCCAGACTACTAGGTTTATGAAATGTCAAAAAATGTCTTAACATTGGTTAAACTGGCTGCAAATCCACATGTTGTCCTGGCTCTTAGGTGGATTGCTGAACAGGTGTTGACTTTAGGAGTGGTTCAGTCCATCTGCCCAACAGAAGGACTTTTGTAACTACACATGAACCAGCCACTATGGCTAGTGGTTTTCCAAAGTTATTAGTTACTCAGTATTTTCACTGGCCACAATTTTGACTTTGCTACCAAAAAACTGCCATATAAGATAATATCAAAAAAATATAAGATAATATATATATATATATATATATTATATATATATATATATTCATTTTTTTGATTTTTTTTTTTACATTATCTTACAATTTGAGCAGGTATATCAGGCTGCTGTCACTTTAAGACCTGACGCACAGATCCATTATACTGTAACAGATTTTTTCCTTCTCAACTGTTAATGGTCACTTAAAACATAACTGACCGTGTTTACATGATTACTCATCAAGACTGCCATTTTTACATTATTTAGAGTGTATTTGACTGTTTAAGCGTTTGTTTAATTAAATTAAAACAAAGGTGACTTCAACGCGCTTTGGGTGTGAACACAAAGTCTGCAGGGATGAGTAAAATTATGCTCAAAACGTGCAATCCCACGCTGAAATTCAAGCTGTAACAGCAACAATATTCATCCAGAGCAAATGAAACGAGTGAGTGAGGGGAGGCGGGTTTATGTGTAACGAGATGATATGAGTTATGAAGTCCAGCGGGTCTCGTGTATCTGTTCTGTGGAAAATTAGTATTGGAAGTGTTTCAGTGATTTCAGTATCGAAAAATGTATATTTTTGACAACACTGCATTGCACTTATTTCTGATGCCTTTTTTAAAGACTACAATTAAAGTGTGCAATGACTGCGCTACACGCCACTGATGAAATCCACCGCATTTGGCGGGTTGGAGGGTGTTAATGTCAAGCCCTGCTGACACACATCCTTCAGCCTTCCTGAGAAAACTGAACCAGTAATCTAAATGTAACAGCCTGGTGTATCTTCCTCTTTATCATTCAGTCCTGCTATGGGTCTTGCAGCTCTATTAAAAAACAAAATGTTATGTAAGCTGCCGGAGATGGCAGAAAAGTACACGCTTCACTTAACCTTCAAATGGTCTTTGTTTCCTGTTTACACTGATTTCTGGGCTTCGGGGTCTATACGACCCCAACAATTGATTGAGTAATTTTACAAAAAATATACATTTCTAATCATACAAATAATATATCTTTTTTTTTTTTGTTTACTTCTCATCTATTCATTAACGCTGTGTTTTTGGAGATATAAAGTACTTTTGTATCCATATACCACACAATTCCTCAACAACACCATTAGCTTGCATATGAAATATATTTTTTTTATGATACATTGCATTTAGCTCTAGTACTAGGCCTTCATTTGAATCATTTCTGTGTAAAAAAATCAGATTAATGCTGGATTTTTTTTTTTTGACACATGAAGAAAATATATTTAGTTTTTTTCACATTTCCCATTCATTTCAATGTGGGGTCATATTGACCCCAAAGACCAGAAGTGTAAACATTTTTTTTTTTTTTTTTACATTCCTTCAGAACAACCGAATCAAGCCCAGTTTTTTGTGTGTATAGATAGATAATGTATGAAAAGTCACAAAATCTTATTCCACTGAGATGAAGGGAACCTATTTTTTATTAAGTAAAAGTCGATTGGGGTCGTATAGACCCCATGACCCGATTGAGGGCTACATTAAACAATCACCGGTGGCGATTGTTTATATATAAATCCATTATTGGGACATTGCCCCCTTATTATGTCCTTCAAGGCCAGAACTCGGTCCCTGCAGTTTAATGATAATCTCCACATGATTGTGCCTAAGGCTCGAACAGAGTTAGGGAAGCAAGCATTTCGAATTTCTGCCCCATCAGCGTGAAACCTATTACAGAATGACTTGATAACTTGGTCTCCTCTGGTCACTTTAAGAGACTAGTAAAGGATTGGGAAACAGGCCCAATGGGTACCTGTCCCTGCTTTCCAAATTAGGAAAAGTCTATTGTATTGTAACTGTTGTAAGGTGAGGTCATTGTATTTTATTTTTTAACCGAGGCTGATTTATTGTCTTGTATGTTAATTGTATTTATTATATTTTGTATTTTATGTGTAACTTTTATTGTAGCCTTCTTGGCCAGGGCTCCTTCGTAAAAGGGTCTTTAAATTCGTTAAATAATGGTTAATATATATATATATATATATATATATATATATATTTAAATTGCATACACATTAATAAAGCTACAGACATGGCAACCCCGGAAAATTATAATGACTTGCATGGGCTCGACAGTTCAGCACTTTTAATAGCCCTGTTCATAATATTAATATAATTCTGTAATTATTATTGGAAAATGAATGCACAGCTGGGATGTTAAAACCCAGTGTGCAACTGTACATATATTTTAATTAAGGTAGCGGCCAAAAGTAAATTATTCAGTTACCACCTGTACTTTTCTGTATCTATACTGCATTTATTTAGAACCACTTCACTTGCATAAAACAGCACAGCTGCCGTTAAAAATGTGCCAAAAACAATTTGTCAAAGTGATATATAATGGCAATAGGATCAAAAAACCGAGAACTAAAGTACATTCACAATTATGCTGTTATCTGTTAACTGTGCTCATACCTTCATTTCTTTTTTCCCCCTTTGCAGGTAGACTATGTGGCAGTAGAATTAAAATCAGTGGTGCAGTTGCCCACAATATTAGCCTACTCAAATATTACATCATACCAAAGCAGGTGGAGGCGTCTTTTCCACTTGGCATGGAAATTATAGCCACATAGAAATCACTGGCCTTTTTCAGTCTGCCTAAACTCACTGTCTATTGGTGTTGCCCACAGGAATGGTAATATGTTTGATTTTGTGTCTCAGGAGGATGTTTGCTGGATGGGAAAACAGTAGTATGATGTTGCTCTAGTCGGTCTAACCACTCCACCTCAGATTTCCCAGATTTATTTTCAATGCAAACATTAATGTAAGTGTAAAAACAACACATTAATTAATGGTAACATTAGAAAGAGACTTCTACTGAGAAATGGTGATCTGTCACAGCACTTAAAATACACTTTCCCTTAATAATAAATATTTTACCCTAAAATATACCCAAGTCTAGTCGTAATAGCAAGGAAGTTCTACTTCTAGTAGGAGCTACTATACCTATACTAAATACATAGCCTAATTTGTTAGACATAGGTTTGTGAGATATAGATTTAGTTGTGTAATTAGTCACTTGTGTTGAATAATGTGTTGTTTTGTTAATATTTACTAATTCGTGTCATGTGCAACAGTTACGGTTTGTTAGTCTAGACAACGCTAAATGTTACATTCCAATCAGATTCCAATGCATTTAGCTATAACACGTTTTAAATGTGAGTTATGTGTCTCCTTAACTGACTCCAATGCATTTAGACACTATATTGTTGAGGGTTACACGGCCCGGTGATCTCATCATCAGTCCGGACGCAGTAGAGCGGAACACCCGAGTAATGAATAAGCAGCTTTGTTTATCAACCTTAAACCCCTTTTGTGTCGTGTAACCGAGTCCTCGTTGCCACTCACAACTTTCCGTTACTGGAAAACAAAATCCTGGACAGTCGAAAGCAACTTCGATAATTGCATTGCAGTATAGAGGATTATGTAAACTGCACGTACTGTACACGAACAGCCTCATTCATATACTGACCTACAAAAAACAACGAAACGCGTCCAGAATGCTATAGGTTCAACTTGTATACATCCCATTGGCGGATGCGTTTGTTATCGTTCTGTTCAGAATCCCTCACCTCTATTGAATCACCTCTGGTAGCATCTCCATTTAACTCCATCTCTTCTGAAGCCATAATCCTTCCTTGGGTTGTATCCGTATCTAATAGTCCGTAAATAGCTGGGGTTCAGAGTGTTTGTGGTGCATTTAAAATTATGATCTCATGGAGGCTGGACAAACGACTGCCAATCACTGCACTAGAGCTGTTCGATTCATTCTTTTGAGTCGGATCTTTTTAATCAGTTCATGAAAAGCATCAACGTACAAACACGTTTTCAGCTGGAATATTTAAATGATTTTAGCAGCGTGTAGATGCAAATTATATTCGCTTGTTTCTATGTTCTTGTTTAGTTTGTTTTTGTTTTTTACAAGGAGCCAAAACCAGCTAGCTGGAAAAACCAGCTAGACCAGCTCAAGGTCAAGCTTATAGCTGGTAAGACCCAAAACCAGCTCAGTTGGGTTGATTTTCTTTTTTGGGGTTTGAAGCTGGTTTCTCAGCTTGGTGTAGTAGTTGGATTGTATAGCAGCTGTAAGTTACTGATCATTTCTGATAAAATAACACTCCTACATTATCATGGCTGCAACAAATCCTACAGTGTAATATTTCAATAAACAAAATACATTTTTAATAGAAAAACATAATAAACAGTAATATGTTCTATATCCGTCTGGATATAGGGTCCATCTTTATGCTGGAAAGAATGGCTGTTTCATTCGGTTCTTTTAAATTAATTGTTCGAAAGAACCGATTCTCAGAAATGAGTCGGGCTTCAATTCATTACAGTCCAGGCTCGATACTTTTGTTGACAAAGTTAGCCGCCAAACGCCCATAATCTAATACAAATGAGTCGGGCTTCAATTCATTATAGTCCAGGCTCGATACTTTTGTTGACAAAGTTAGCCGCCAAACGCCCATAATCTAATACCAAAGTTCGTGCTCTTATCCGTGTAATAATTAATATTAGTGTAATAGGCCCGTATGATCACTCCCAACTGTTTGCAACATTTTTAATTGGTGGAGTCAAGTCATAATGTTTAATTTAGAGATGTGTCAGTAAAACGTGTGTGAGCTTAAAATCGCACATTGACCTTCAGAGAGTTGATTCGGTGCCAACAGATACAAGCAAAAGCAAGGGGGAAACTGTCCCTGTACCGAAACTGGACATCTGTGTGTGTTTGTGCTGCCATCTAGTGGTGGTTGAAACCGTAGACATCTCTATCCATACTGAAATCTTTCCTTCTGAATCAAAGGGGTTGCCTAGTCCACCCAAGAATTATATATATATATAAAAGAATTACATAATTTACTCACCCTCAAGTTGTACCAAACCTGTATTTTGAAGTAGGCATATGTACCAATTCTAAACAGTTGTGGGGCGTCATTGACTTCCATAGCATTATTCCCATGGAAGTCAATGATTCCCTGGCCTCAACTGTTTGATTACCAACATTCTTCAGAATATCATCTTTTGTGTTCAACAGAAGAAAGAAACTCATACAGGTTTGGAACAGTGTGAGGGTGAGCAAATAATAAAAAAAATTTCATTTTTTGGTGAACTATCCCTTTAAGTCTATGACTTCACAGCTTTTGTGCAAGGCAAGCAAAGATAGTTACTTTAGATACTTAATTCAACAAAACCCGTACAAGTGTTTTTGGAAATATTCAAATAGATGACTTTAAATTGGCTATATGAAAGAGTTTTATTCTCTATCTTGCGTCTTTTCTTCTGATAAATTAAAGATAGCCTACTTTTATCTTTTCTGTCCTGAAAATCTAATACATATATCATTTGAATCGGAATATTCCTTAATTAAACTAATGTATTTGTCTTCATTTTATTGTCAGTTTATTGTAAAACAGTTTTTCTTCAAGTTTTTCTTGTTATTTATTCAGGTCCTATTCAGGCTATTAATATAAAGTATCTTGGGACAAAGTAGTTTAAGAGACAACCTGACAACAGTTCAATATGTCAAGTTCTTAAGGTACAGACTCATGACAGACTAATTAATTGCAGTAGCCCATTACAGAAGTGCAGTTTCTATAAATACCTCAGGCAATGATAAGATATGTCTGACCCTCACTGCACATTTGTCCTTTAAAATCTCTAAGTGATAAAGATTATTCTTTTTACGGGATAATAAATTGTCCATACACTACTTGAAACACAAGTTAATGCCATTAGTAATATATGATATTTTGTTTTGCTCTTTTAACTTATTACATATATATATATATATATACATATATATAACTCAAATAGCACTGTAACACATTAAAATAAAGTGTAACCCACATTTCTTACTGGTTAAACGATGTTGCAACTCGCCATTTGGTCTCCATTATAAGAATGCAGTATAGCCTATTCCTACTGTAAAGGATATTGCAGTGGGAATACTCAAGCTTCCTCCAGTAGGTGGAACATTATCTTTCAGCAAGAGAGGAAAAGAAGGAGGGGAGGGGAGAGAGAATAAAAAAGCATCGTCATATAACATTCATTCACATGAAATATTCAGCAGTCTTAACCAAGTCACGTGGCGAGAACAGGAGATATATTGAGCACAGTAAAGAAATGCTGTATGTGAAGTTGCTATAAACTACTTCAAACTTAGTTATATGAATATTGGTTCCACATATCTGATGATTAGTTTTGTGTCTGCAGGACAGTGACGTGTCCTGTTCCGTCCTTCAGTCGAGCTCATCGTCACGTCACGGAGGTTTGGGCGTACCCAGAGTCCCGTGTGGTCCATGACGACCCGTGTAGAGGAGGATAAGGGTACCGCCTAAAAGCACACGCTTTTATTGGACACACAGTGTGTTGCTAGGCGCTGCAGGATGTCCGTAACAGAGCATCAGTCAGCAGCAGTGTAACAGAAGCTAACTCTGGACGCTATAATAACGAGGGACGAATCTTTTGGGAGGTGTCAGTGCCGTATTATCCGAGATGAGGAGAGCATTGCCGCAGTGAGCAAATAATCTCATCAACGGGCTGTGGATTTCATGTCCCCTACTGACGCTGGCATTTATAAGAACCAAGGGTGCTCGGGTTTGAAGCGGCTATGTGGTTGCTTGGAGAAAGTAGATGTCTGAGATTAAAATCTTATTTCAAGGGACAGCTGGGCACTGTATAGTTGTGTGGCGGATTAAACAACGTGACAGCTGCTGTCAGCTACTCAGCATGGTGAGTTAGATACTATAATATTGGGTAAAATTGTTTTAGTATTTCTGTGGCATACATTTCTGATGTAAGTTTTCCTCGTTGGCTTCTTGAAACACAAGATAATATATTAGTAGGCTAATATATGATATTTTGTTTTGCTCTTTTAACTTATTCCATAAATATTTGATCATAATTAATATTAGCTTTTATATGTAAACGAGGAGACTGGCAGTCGGTCCTCAAATGATGCCGAACTGCGTCAGACTAGCATTGCAGATGTGGCAAACCGTTTGAACATTTATTCCTTTAAAAACTAAAAGTGTTTGTTTCTAGTAGTTTAGTTCACGTAAGTAATCCAACAGAAAATTGGATTTCAATTTCTCTCTTACAAGTGCTAGTTATTACCTAGTCTTTGCTGCCGTAACTGGTGACACATTTCAAGTATTCTAGTTGTTAGAACTAATTCAAATCTTACTTGTCAGAGTTTTGATATAAAATAGCCTACTGTATATGGCAAGTAAAATAAAGCAATTTTAACTGGTGAGATTAAAATTTTAACTTGTAACTGATTTAAAAAAAATAGTTTTATGTAAATATGACCTAATAATTATTTACTATAGTAAATATGGAATAGATACTAGTAACTATTGTGATTGTTTTCTACACCTAGTAAAGGAATAAAAGTGCTGGGCGCCGTGTTGCATTCTGGGACGTGGCGGCCATGTTGGCAGCTTCGTAAATATAAACATACCAGCAAGTCGAACGAAGAGAAGCAAATAAAAGAAAGAAAATAAAAAAAATGTTAAAATCCCTAAAAGAATGCGGAATTTACCGGGACACGTTTAATAAGGAAACCAGGGACTGGTATGTGGATAAAACGGCACTTTTAACGGGTTAGATTCATTTGAAATATCCAACAAACAGTGGGAACATAGTACGTTATGCTAACTTAAACTGGACAAAGGTAAACTGCGCTCCACCTAGCTGCTAGTTTAGTAACTAACAGTTATAGTGCTAACAACCATTCACACATGTAACATACTTTTAACGATGTGTTTCAAAAGTGTAGTTTGTAACGTTAGCTGTTTTAAGCAGTTAGTAAGCAAAACGATGCTAGCAACAGGACAACAGAGGCTGACAGGTCCGATTAAAGGGCTAATGTTAATGTTATGAGAATGCTAAAATATGGGATATTTTACAGGAAAATACTAAAACGGGAAGACAGCCGGAAAAGAGCTCAAGTATGTGAGCAACCCGGAAAAAACGTGAGGGTTGACAGCTAACGCTACTAGCTATCTGTCCGGATTACTGTGTTCCCACTCTTTGCCGACTCTTTGTTGGAAATTTCATATGGATCCAAACCGTTAAAAGTGCTGGTTTTGTCCACATGCTGGTCACTGGCTTCCCTATTTAACATATCCCGGTAAATACCACAACCTTTTAGGGATTTTAACATCTTATTTTCTTTTCTTTATCCTAACTCAGCTGCTTCTCCTCGTTCGACTTGCTGTATGTTTACATGCGCAAAGCTGCCAACATGGCCGCCACGCCAGTAATGACGTCACGACGCCCAAGCCCTATTGTTATGATTCCTGGGATATGCATTCATTTCTAATGAATAGTGAAATAAAGTGGTACATGTATGACGTCAGAACCCAGAAGTCCCTTGGATCCATTTTCCTATGTTTTTTTTTTTTCAATTTATAAGTAAAATAAAGCCTGTGGTAAACATATCTTGACAACACTTTGATGTTTTGTTCTACAATGTACACAGGGCACACTAAACACCCCAAACTGCTTATTAAAAATGCTTCAAAATTCACGTTTTCGCCATGGGTGTGTAATTTACGTTGTAGAACAAATGTCAAAGTATAGTCAAGATATGTTTACCACCGGCTTTACACATAAATCGAAGACCCCCATAGTAAAATCTCAAAGGAAACAGTGACGAATTATTCTCCCGGGTTCTGATGTCATACCTGGACAACTCTATTGAAACAGATACTGGTCATTATTGAATTATTTACAAGTTGGAACATGCTAGGAATGCAAAATAGATTCCAGTTAAAGGAATAAACTACTTTCCATATTGCAGGTGCATTCATTCAAGGAGGACCACATAAACGGCTGAAAGTCACAGATGAGTGTCCGGTGATGGAAAACCTGACTGGATCCAACTCTGAGCCGCAGCCTGGGGGCATCACAGTTCCTCATGTCCCCCCAAAAAAGACGTCAATTTATGAAAACGGTCACGAGCATCCCACTCATATGGACCCCACAGCTGCAGCACACAGAGGGGCCAGCGATCCAACCACATACCCTCTGTTAGATTACCGAGGTCTGGTCCGGCAGAGATTTATACGCAGAAGTTTGTGGTTCTCCGAATCAGAGGATCAAGAACTCGAGGTTTCAGACTGCGACACCATCAGCAGTCCCGTTAAAAGTGCTCGTATTGTGGTCCAGAGGAGTTTTAATGCGAAGAGTCCGGTGGGACAGGGTGATTGTGTAACAAAGAGCTTCAGCAAAGAGCCAGAGACAAGCGAGGCTGAGGAAAAACATGACGAGGAACCCCCGGAAACCTCCAGCAGCGGGGACAAAGCTGGGAGTGACGAGAATGAGGAAGATGCCGCAATGAAGGCAGTATCCACCTCTCCGGGTGGACGCTTTCTTAAGTTTGATATTGAGCTTGGAAGAGGGTCCTTCAAAACAGTCTATAAGGGCCTAGACACTGAGACATGGGTGGAGGTGGCCTGGTGTGAACTTCAGGTAAGAAAACAGAGATTCTGAAATTGAACCACTGGCATTTCAGTTGGATAGTAGTTGGCCTCCTCTCAGGCTTTTTCTTTCTTGACATTGTAGAAAATAGTGTCAGATAACCAACAGATCCACTTAATTTGTTGGGTGTAATGACTTGGCTAAGCTCTAGATGTGTCGGATATCAATGATCTAGAAGTAAAAACTAAAAGGTAGTTGGTTTAAATTTGTTAATAAAAACAAAGACTAGATTTTTCTGATTGATCCATGATTTCTCCCTGTACATGTTTGCCGGGTCACTTGATATGACTTCTTCCTTTTATCAGCACTATTGATTGTAAAATGGAGAGATTGAATCGCCATGACCAGTTCTATATCAGATTTCCTTTGTTTAATAGTGTTTCCGCTTGTTGTCAATGTCTAGAATCATTTGAGGTTCAGCCGAGTTCAGCTGAGAATGCTTAGTGTTTCTGAAATATTTAAAGAACGCGATTATGTTGAGGGAGAGTGTTATTTTGACTGCGCCGTAACAGCTTTGTGCCAAAGCTTTTTATATATCAGAGCTCACTAAAATATCCTAGTAGACATTTACAGTAGAAATGCTGAAGGGAGGGGACACAAACAAACTCTGGAGAGCAGCAATGCACATCCCTGGAGGATCAGTCTCTCTGCATACAGGTCATGTGACAAGCTCTGGTCATGTGCACTTACCTGCTGTAATGATGCAACAGTGCAGTGTTATCACAGTGTCTCGTAGTAATTTCTCTCTCTATAAATATAGACACAGTACACACACACACATATTTTTCAGGTATAAACCATAAACAACACATTTTGTAGATAATGTTTTACATAAATAATACACATTTGCCCTTTATAATAATAAGCAATACATCATGGACTACTTGCTAAGCTTGGGAACATATAAATTGTGCATTCACTGTCCATGGAAGAATGACTAGGCAGTTATGATCTCTGGAGCTCTGATTTTAGACACTAGGATGCTCTGGTTTTTGTTTCTATGTGTGGGCGATGCTTGTTACTGTGTTACTGTATGTACCACAGCTATTGTTCGGGGCATGCCTTCAGTTTTGGATAGGAGGATTCATCCTGCTTTATGAATCTTAAAATCACATGGATAGAGTTAGGGAAGCATATAGTTCACCGACTGCGTAGACAAAAATTGCTGAGGCTCCCAAATCTGCAACAAGGGAGGAGAGCGAGCGAGGGAGAGACAGAGGAACAGGTCAGATGAGGTGAAGATGGCTGTGTACTAAGAAGAAACATGGCTTCCCTCACTGTAGCGTTCTCAAGACAATATAAAGATATTCCTAATGGACCATTTTATGTACTGCTGAACGCCCAACTTGATTTATCCCTCATTTATCCGACAGGGATGCATCAGGAGCTGACGGTATGAACAAAACTGTTATTTGTGTGTAATGGAGTCTTCATCCAAGACACATCTCAGGAAAAGATCTTAGTGCCACTCCCTGGCCATGAATAAAGCAAAAAGCTTTTCTTTTTGAGAAGGAATCATTTCCTTTTGTGAGAGCTTTTGATGTAGCACACATCAATGTCACCGTGTTTAATTTGCGTGTTTAAATTTTATTAGAAATGTAATGAAAGATTGGGATAATAGTACAACCTAGTAACATATGTAACTATAAAATTCCCTATCACAGCATATGCTTTTTCTTATTTGTTAGTCACTCTGATAGAAACAACCTAGGAATCATGTTTGGTCTGAACTGACGGTAGACTATAGAGGAAATTAGATGGAGAATTAAGAATAGGGGGAGGTCGAATAATATATGAGCCTCTGTGTGTCCCTGAGTTCATGTGAGGTGTTAGATGGTGCAGTGTGGGGGTGGGTCTCAAGAGGTTTTATGGGGTTGCACATTGCCTGATTGTGAGGGACAGAGATGTTACAGATACTCCCTGTCAGCGTTTAGCAAATATAGAAGCAGGAAGAGGGCAGATGCAATGGTATTGATTTGGTCAGCTTCTTGACCATAGATACAAACTAGAACGTGAACCACCAATGATCCTGTAACTGTAGCATTTTCAAGCCTAGCATAACTGCTGTACACACCAGTTTAAGCCCAACTGGACCAGCTCTGTTTTGTACAATGAATAAAGAGACAACAATTTTAAAAGTTTATTCGACAAACCCCAATATTTATTTTTTAATTTTTTTAATTATGCTTTTTGTGTTAAAGGAGTAGTTCACTTTAAAAAAAACTTTTGCTGATAATTTACTCACCCCCATGTCATCCAAGATATCCATGTAATTCTTTCTTCAGTCGAAAAGAAATTAAGGTTTTTGATGAAAACATTCCAGGATTTTTCTCCATACAATGGACTTCAATGGGAACCAAACCGTTCAAGGTCCAAAAGACAGTCGTTTAAAGCCCTTTGAACAGTTTGCAGTTTGCACTGACACTGTCTTTTGGACCTTGAACCACACAAATTCAAAAACACAATACAACAGATATAGTCTATCCTTAGAAAGCCATTACAGGGAATGTGCGCTTTAAATCAATAAAGATCGACTTAAATGTCTTCATAACACACGTCTTTCACTGGTCAAGAGTTATTCCACGTAGATCTCTTTTTTCACTGAAAGGAGGATAATTGTTTCTAAATATGTTTGTTTATGGATCCATTTCTCTTCCCACCTGTTCATCTGTCTCTCTTACTTTTCTCCTGCCATATGCCTGATACCTTAAACACCGTGCCTATCCAGGATCGTAAGCTGTCCAAAGTGGAACGTCAGAGGTTTAAAGAGGAGGCAGAGATGCTAAAAGGTCTTCAGCATCCAAACATTGTGCGCTTCTATGACTTTTGGGAATCTCCTGTTAAGGGGAAGAAGTGCATTGTTTTAGTCACCGAACTGATGACATCTGGAACACTAAAAACGTGAGTTACATAAAACAAAGACATGCAACAGCTGATGCTATCACATACTTGGTATACATTATAGTAAAGTAAGATTTGAGTTGCTTGCTATGGGACACCAAGTAATGTACAGTAGATCTGCCCTGATGACAACTTGCCCAATAACACAATGATCTCTAACCCGGTTTCTGTTCATATGTAGGTATCTGAAGCGATTCAAGGTGATGAAACCAAAAGTCTTACGAAGCTGGTGCAGACAGATCCTAAAAGGTCTTCACTTCCTCCATACGAGGACCCCTCCCATTATACATCGAGACCTGAAGTGTGACAATATCTTCATCACTGGTCCTACAGGCTCAGTCAAGATCGGAGATCTTGGCCTGGCCACTCTAAAGAGAGCTTCTTTTGCCAAAAGTGTAATAGGTAATGATGAGATTGAACAGATTAGGCTATACTCAATACAACATTTAAACAGCAAGTTTAGATGATGTAGATTGTAGCTTATGTAGCCTATAATTTGAAATTAAATGATTTTTTTTCGTCCTCTTTTAGGCACTCCAGAGTTTATGGCCCCTGAGATGTACGAGGAGCACTATGATGAAGCCGTAGATGTGTATGCCTTTGGGATGTGTATGCTAGAAATGGCCACATCTGAGTATCCATACTCAGAGTGCCAAAATGCAGCACAAATCTATCGCAAAGTCACTAGTGTAAGTTTGAGCAAACTGCTTCTCACTGACTGGAATAATGGAATATAAATATCATAAATACATTGATACATTTTCACATTCAGTTCAATGGCATAATGTACGTACAACTGATTCTTACCTACAATTTATGTAGATAATAATTCTGTAATTGCAGTCAGCTATAAAGGAAAATGTTTCCTTTCACTCTCTAAGATTTTTTTAATGAAACCACAATGTGTTTGTGTGTGTGTGTGTGTTGGGTTCCTTATTAATCTTCTGCACAGGGTGTGAAGCCAGCCAGTTTCATTAAGGTGGCCGTGCCTGAAATAAAAGAAATCATTGGAGAGTGTATCTGCCATCGCTGGGAGGAAAGGTGAGCCCATCCGCTGAACAGTCTCTTGTCACATAACCATGAAGATTATGGTTCTTTATGGCAAAGCCTCTGCTCCTTTCAGATGTGGCACTTGTTGTATAATCAGACAACCTTTTCTTGGATAGCTGTGACTTTATTTAACTGATACATTTTACCCTGCTAACAACATCAATTCTCCCCTGGTTTTTAAATGTGTTTGATTGTAAATTGCCTGCATGGATCATCAATCGGTTAAATGGCTCATACCATTTACTACAGCAACATCGTAGAATTGTTGATAGTCCTTCAGATGTCAGACTTGTGTTTTAGCTCGTTTCAAACCAAATCACATCTTTCTCTCCTTAAAGGTACTCCATAAAGGACTTACTAAACCATGCATTCTTTGCGGAGGACACAGGTGTGAGAGTAGAGCTGGCTGAAGAGGATGACGGCAAGAAGTCTTCCATTGCTCTGAGGCTTTGGGTTGAAGACCAGAAAAAGCTTAAAGGAAAGTATAAAGACAGCGGTGCAATCGAGTTCACCTTTGACCTGGAGACAGAAGTCCCGGAAACAGTTGCCCAGGAAATGGTAAACTGATTTTTAGAAATGCAAAACTTTTAAACACATGCATCACATACTTGTGGTTTGGAATACATATTCATGATCTTTTCTGGCAGGTGGAGTCTGGCTTCTTTTTAGAGGTTGATGTGAAGATTGTGGGTAAGTCTATCCGTGACCGTGTGTCTCTAATAAAGTGGAGACGGCAGCGGATTGTCCGTAATGGAAAAACAGAAGAGAGCATGACCAAGACTGAGGCACAGAATCTCCTTCAGGTGCCCTCCACAGGGCCACCTCCACCAGGTCTTCCATCCGAAACTGAGGAACTACAGACTGAAGCAGTCAGCCTGGTCTGCAGTGCCCCAACTAGTGCTACTACAGCTACACGTGAGTAGATGTTGAACTACAGTAGGCATGTGTTCCCAATGACTGTAAATGGGTCTATTAGCAATATTCACATTACCAATAAAATGTAATGTACAGTATTTCACTTGATCATATTCATACTTTGCAGTCACGTGACTGCCATGGATGCCTGGCGGGCAACAAACGGGTATTTCCTGGTAGTTCCAGGTCTTTCTAGTAGCTATCAATTCTGTTAGCGAGCTAGCTGCATAACTGTGCACTAGGATTAACTCCAAGGTGAAGGTAGTTAAAACGTTAGTTCACCCAAAAATGAAAATTCTGTCAGTATTTACTCACCCTCATGTTGTTCCAACCCCGTAAGACCTTCGTTCATCTTCGGAACACAAATTAAGATATTTAAGATATTAAGATCGCTCCTGCATACTAGTCCTTGAGGGACTGGCTCTTGCTGGCCTCGAAAAGTCATTAAAGACATCGTTAAAATAGTCCAAGTGACTACAGGGGCTCAATCTTAAGTTTATCAAACGACGAGAACCCCTTTTGTGCGCAAAAACAACAAAAATAACGACTTTAGATGAAGATGAACGAAGGTCTTACGGGGTTGGAACAACATGAGGGTGAGTAAATACTGACAGAATTTTCATTTTTGGGTGAACTAACCCTTTAAATTGTGTAAAGCAGACAAGGTTTATTTTAGATAATCGAGCAGTAATAATTGCTCCGTAAATAATCTATCTCTACTGTTCTCATTGAAAACCATAGATATCACAAACCCCCAAACAACCTATCACACGCTTTTGCTAATACGACAGCTGCGTTTACACCACCATCGGCAATAGCGTCAAAGTGCCCAGAAGTCATTAATTTTTCAATGAATTTTGCCCCTCTTGCCGCGGCGATGTGAACGTACAGTAAGCCTCATAACATACACAGCTGACCAACCAGCTGGTGGCGTTGATTGACAAAACTACAGGTTGACTTAAAGGGTTAGTTCACCCAAAAATGAAAATGAAAAAGAACGTCCTCGTCTCAGTTATCGCGCATGCGCCAATAAGGAAGTAATGGAATAGTCGAATAAAGTCGTTATTTATGTTTTTTTCACACAAAAAGTAGTCTCGTCGCTTGATAAACTTATAATTGAGCCGCTGTAGGCACATGGAATATTTAAACCTTTTCTTTAATGACTTTTGGGCCGTCAAGAGCCAGTCCCTTAGGCAGTCTATGGAAGAGTGATCCAGCTCTCAGATTCAATCAAAAATATCTTTATTTGTGTTCCGAAGATGAACGAAGGTCTTACGGGGATGGAACAGCATGGGGGTGAGTAAATAGTGACTTAATTTTCATTTTTGGGTGAACTAACCCTTTAAAGACACGATTAATTACATGATCATACACCCACTGTATTCAAACAAATGTTGAAATGACGTTGAGTGATGGAATGATCCCTGCACAGACGTGTAACGTTATACTGTGAAAGTTGCTTATCACATCTGGTTAGTGCAACTAATCGCACAACAACTATCTGGCGTGTCATTTACACCTCGAAACACCAACTTTTGTATAAAAAATGGCTACGTCCTGGCAAGATCCTTGACTAGTTTACTGGGTTTTGTTGCTGGAGAACGCCAGCCAGTTACTTGTGATGTCACGTGCCAAGTACGAATAATATTATGTTAGTTATTTAGTTTAATCATTTCTCTTGTAAAACTTACATAACGTAGACATGCCAACATTTTACTTGCTTCAATAACTTGTGTATGCACTTGTATGTGTTGTTTGCAGACAGCAGTTCAGGCTCAACAATGATCACAGGCCATTCAGGCAACCAAGACAGCCCTTCTCAGCAGTCCCTTTCGGAGTCCATTTCCACTGGCCAAATGGTCTTAAGCCCTCCAGGACAGCTTCTGGCTCAATTGCCACAGTGTACCCAACAGCCATCTCTGGGGACTCAACAACAACCTTCTCTACAAATGCATCAAGGTGTCCCACAACAAACCGTAGGCCAGTTACTCCACGGGGCTCAGCAACAACCTAGTCCTCAGCAAACCCAGGGAGCCCAACAACAGCCTAGTGGTCCCCTGCACCAGGTTACACAAGCACAGGCCCATGGTTTGGTGCCACAACCCACCATTCAGCTGCACCAACAATATCAGCAGTCAGCTCATCAGCTACATCAAGGGGCGTTTCAGCAGTCTTCGGTACACCTGCGTCAGAGCTCTTACCAGCCATCACCTGTAAGTTTATACTTAAATTTGCCTCTAGCCTTACTTTGTAGGAAAGCCACCATCTTAATTCCCATTCATTTCTTCCCTTAGCACTATGTTTTTTATTATGACTGTCTGAATTTAAAAAAAATGTGTCTTTTTCTCAAACTGTGACTGAATGAGCAGCGACATGGCAGTATCCCTGGTGACTTCCAAAGATCTTTGCTATTCTCTGATAACTTGGCGGGGACCAGGCGTTGCAGCACTTCATTCGTTGACACATTACAGAGGAGAACTGACCTACAGGATTTGTTAGAGCAGCTGCATCATCAGACTTATAGCTGTCCCAAACCTGAAGCAAGTTCTAGTGATGAAATAAATAAAAGTGACTTTACTATGCCTTCATCCGTCACAAATTATGACCAGGCACCAAATAATGTTTCTAAAGACACCTATGAATATAGTTCACAGCAGGGAAAAATGAATCCACAATCCCACAGTCGGAGGAACTCTGATGTCCACCCACATAACTGCCAGGCTTGTAGGGCACTGTTGCTGGCTGTAAGGTCAGGTCAGGGTCTCTCGGTCATGCCTCTTCACCCTCTTCCTCCCATATCCACCAAAAAATGCCACATGTTTCCTCAATAAAACCATCATTGGCTCATTCAGACTCAAGCTCACCAATTTATATGACCCCACAGTCTCCATATATGTCGACACTGCCTGTAAAGCAAGTTTCTGTTCTTGAGAACAAATCAAGTTCAATCCCAGTTCAAGTCACCCCAGCCTCTCCTGTGACAACTCATGTGCCTAACAGGTCACCACTAAACCATAGCACTGCCTTCCCCGCTGTCTATATATCTATACCCTCACCAGTTCACATGTCTCCCAGACACATGTCTATACCTCTAATTTCCCCACTCAAGTCATCATCTCCAGTTTCACCTATCTCCTTAATCAGGCCACATTCTCATAGTTTGGGAGACAGCTCAGATTTGTCTCACCTCGATCGCTGTCTACATCATATCGTCAATCGGCGTACCAGTTCCCCTGTTTTGACTGACAGGACTCCTCCTGGAGATGGCCACAGGGATGCTTGTGTTAACAAGTTTCATGTACCGCAATTCCAAAGCGTAAGCTCTTTGTGTGTACCCCTATCACATCTGGAACAAGGGGATTTTTCTGTGCAGGACAGTGAAGTTGGACCAGGTCTTGTGGTAGGTTAAAAATAAAATGTGGTAGCTATGATCCCGGCAGAGAAATCTAGAAACAAGAGAATGCTTCCCATGCTTCTTTACAATCTGCTGTCTGCTCTCATAAATGCCAATCCCTCTTAGTTTTATGCACACCTGTATGTAAATTGTATACTTCGTACTTTGTTTCTGAAAATAAACTGAATCAATTTTCTCAAATCACTGCTATTTCCAAAAGAATAAGAAATGAGACCATCTTCAAGGAACTATTATCTCCTTTTGAAGGGCACAGATCTTGAAAGACTGCTAGAATATGCCACAGCAAGCTGACTGTACTATAAATGACTGCTACTGCAACACCGCAAATTATCCCTGTCACTCTGTGCGTGGTCCTTTTTAACGCAACATCCCCCCCTGTGTGTAGAGTTGATGTCACACATTTCCCCTTTTGTTCCCTGTCAGTAGCTGCTAATTTACCTGTCACATCAAACTGGATACTGGAGTTACTGTCCTGCTAATATCTTGAAGAACTGCCTTTGTCTTTTAAAGGAGCTGTATGCAAGACATCTATTTCAATTAATCATACATTTTCCCTGATATGTCACTAGACATTTAGAAATCATGTTCATTTCATTTACATTTAGTCATTTAGCAGATTGCTAAAGCTAATGGTGTAGTTGAGAAATTGGGTGGTGTATGGATACAAAAGTACTTTATGTCTCCAAAAACACATTAATGAATAGATGAGAAGTAAACAAAAAAAAATGATATATTATTTGTACGATTAAAAATGTATATTTTTTTGTACAATTACTCAATTGTAATCGTATAGACCCCGAAGCCCAGAAGTGTAAACAGGAAACGAAGTCCATTTGAAGATTAACAGAAAAAAAAAACTCACTGTGTAGGACCATTGGAAGCATATCTGGCAACCTCGAGTCAAGGGGAGTTGTTTGGGGATACAACCCTCTACACTAATTTGAAAGTGATTGCAGTACCAGTTTTGGCCACAATCTTGCATACGGCTCTGCTCCAGCAATATATGTTCCTATATTAATATTTGTTTTTGTGCATGTGTTTTTCAGCCTTCCACTCAATTGGTTTCTAAGACCGTCTCTGCTCCAGCTACTCCTGTACCACATGCTCGTCCACAGAGCATTCATGCCTCCGCCCTCGTAGCACAGGAGGTAAGGCCGCAATTGGTTCGTCTTTCCTTAAATGAGGATGGATGCATGCCTGTGTGCTAGCAAAGTGATAGTTTACTAGATTAATTTAGAATTTTGTTCTTCCTTGTCTTTGTATTTCTCTCAGTTTCACCTTTATTTCCATCCTGAAGCTTTCCAGCCTCAGGTAGACACAATCTGTATAAACATCCTCACAGTCACAGGTTTTTTGTTTCAGTCATGCCATACATGTATCCGATTTTTAAAAGTCTACAAAGCAATTAATAATTTCAGTTTTACCACTGTTTTAGTTGGTAAACTAAATCCCTGGGGTTGCTAAACAATTAATAAATTCAGTTTTTACCACCAATTTAGTAAATTTGCCATCATCTTATCGTTATTTTTGGGAACTGTTGAGTAAGTGTTCCTCGAAATTAATTTGACTTGTTATGCTAGGAGACAATCTACGTTTTTAACGCATTGTGTTGTATCTGACACTATAATCAGGTGAGGTAAACCCATTGGAATGAAATAATTACATGATTGCTGAATTCATTTAGGCGTTCAAATGTTTAGCATTTAGCATCATTCTTTATTTATTTTTTCTCTCTTTGTCGTCTCTTCAGCCCCTAGTGCTGCCATCTTCAGATGCTCAGTTCATTCCACAGCATCTATTACAGTCAGGACCTTCAATGCTCAGCACCGCTACCCTTCCTCCACAACCACAGCTAAATGTTCAGACACCCCTTCTCCAGCCTCTACAAATCGCCACACAGGTCAGTTAATGAAACCTTAAACCAAGCCTATGTGTGCAAAACCTTTACTCTTATAGTATATTCTTTAGCAAGGGTGAAATCTGTTTGACTCTAGATGGTTAAACAAAGTCAAGGTATTTTTTTAATTCTACATGCAAATATGTAGCTTTTATGGTTTACCTCTGGCTGTTTACGTTTTTATCTTGCTCTTTATTCTTTAGTTTCCTTCGACATATCCTCTTTTGCCAGAAGGGGGCACATCTGCAGGGACAGAGCCAATACCTTTCTCCTCAGTCTCTTTCTCTTCTTCCTATCCCACAAATGCTCATCCCGTCTCCTCTCCCTACTACACATTAAGCCCTATCAGTGCTCCTCCTCCCACACTATCTGTATCCTGCATGCTAGGTGCAGGCACACCTGTCTCCACCCCTCTGAATGTTCCTAGCCCTATACCTCTCCTGGCTATGGCCCTGTCCCCACACATGCTTCCTCCTGAGCAACATCTGCAGCAGATGTACTACCCAGTTCCACCACCAGAAGGTGCCATTTTGCAAGCTCTACCCCAGTCCAACACAACCCTCCCTTCCCCTCCCTCAGCAAGACCCATCTATTTCTGAACCTTTTCACAGAGGTAAATGATGTGGTTTCTTTCCTGCTTTGAGCAAGGATTGATTTATGTTTTGGGAATGCAAATCAAAATAATTACTTTGATCACATAATTGCTGAGTAATTACTTTGGGAGGGACAGCAGAATGGCAGTACATTAATCAGAATTGGTTACCTTGTCATTTCTGGATAATTAATGCTATTCAGTGAGCCTTACAAATAATTGAGGCTTAAAATGTTTTCAACTGGAGTACCCCCGCCATGAGGAATTGCAGATCCTGACCCCATTATCTCACATCATTCTGTCGCAGATCCAGTCTCAACAGGACAGGCAGTCAGAGACAAAGTTTACCACTGTCCAAACCCTACCTGAGACTGTGGAGCCTCCTCTGCAGCCTTTTGGCATACACACAGGATATGCTGTTCCTGAGAGTGCTGACATGCCCAATACAACTCAGCAAACAGCAGACACGGCTTCAATGCCAGCTCCTCCTGCGCTAGAGCCCACCCCATTTCAACCTAACACCGAGGTAACATTAAGCATAAACAAAATCCTTTACCTGACTTTTAAATGTATTCATCAAACAAAGTCCCACATAGACCATTTCAATAATTCTGTTTCCTTACAGGCCCCTGTATCTATTCCACTCCATAGTTTTGTATGCGACAGGTAGGAATAAGTTGTTTTTCTCTGAAAACAAAGAGAATTGCATACCTGAATGAAGTCAGCAATTATGTAATTCTTTAATTATGTCATTTGCAATGTGTATATCTGGACTGATTATAGAAGGTGTAAGCGTGACGTCACCGTCGGCCGGCTAAAAGACTGAGCGGCTTGTTTTCAGCTTGAATGCCGCGAAAAACAAACACAACACATATAAAGTGGGAAAGAGCTTTGCGATTGACTGTACAACTAGATTAGACAAAAAATCGGAGGTATATTTTTACAGACTGGACTCCAGTCAGCGAAAGGTGGATTTGGAGTTATCATTTTGTGTCAATATGCTGAATTTAGGTGTAAAACCATACACAAATATATATATTAACAACTCATCAATTAAATATTTATCATTGCATATTCTGCATTATTGAATGTTTTTTTAATAAACTCGGACCAAAAAAAAAACCTATAAAGTTTTATATAACACTGTTATATAAAGTCTATATATATACTGATATAAGTGATCACCCGGATTTAGACCTACCTACAGTATTTTGTATTTATATAAAGTGTTCACAGGGAAATTTGCTTTATGTTTAGGTCTATATTGCTTTTATTCCCCCGGTGTCGAAATCAGGCAAACATAAATGTCAGGCAACACGATTCCTGGCTGCACGTCAATATGGATCACTGGATCTTTAGTAAGTTGTAAGGAACACTATTGAGTCCATTATTTAGTTTAAATTGATAAAATTGTTCGTTTTAGTCACATTTTCACAGTTTCCCCTATTAAATCCAGTCACGCAGCAGATCTTTTGCCACGTTCCGCGGGAAAGTGACGTCAATGCATTCCCTCTATAGTGGCAGATACATTACATCAAAACAGTAGCAGTAGTGTGTGTGTCTCCTTTTTAAACTTCAGGCTATTCTGTTTTATTTGTCTAGCCTAAACCAAGATGCATCTGGTAAAGAAATGAGTGACAGCTTTGAAGGATCCACTGGTGGAGGAAAGGGTGATGGCAAACCCAGAAAGCACCACCGCAAATCTGCTCGAACGCGCTCGCGCCAGGAAAAAATTAACAAGCCGAAGCTAAGCATGCTAAACGTAAGGATTAAACATGTCTTCTTTTTAAAATGTAATTGTTTTTGTGTGTGATTGCCTTCTAAAATGTCCTTCCTTATAATTTCAGGTTAGTAATACAGGTGACAAGATGGTGGAATGCCAGCTGGAGACACACAATCATAAAATGGTGACTTTCAAATTTGACCTAGATGGAGATGCACCTGAAGAAATAGCCACTTACATGGTGAGATTAATGATCTGCGTGGAAATTGTAGTGCTTAAGATTTCAAATTTAGCTTAGATTTGCAGTCTAACATCAGATTGTCTTGTTCGTAACGCTGTTTTATTTAATTACGTGTTTCTTTTATTTGTGTACCAGGTGGAAAATGGCTTTATTCTACCAATAGAAAAGGAGATTTTTATAGATCAACTTAAAGACATTGTCGACAAGGCAGAAGATATTCTAAGCGAGGACATGGATGGAGAGAAGATATCAGATTTTGGGAAAAATCATTTGCAAGGACAAACTCCTGGAGATGAAGGGGGAGAGGTAATACTGTCATTTAAAAACATTCATCATCTTAAATATGGAATTTAATTCACATACTATATATCACTAAATTGAATTATACTCACAGTCTCCGATTATTTTCCAGGGAATAAATGGACAGCAACCTGGGGCTCCCCAGCCAGTGTATCAGCAAAATGGTAAGCTTTCTTCCTCCTATAATTGGTGCATTTAAAGGGGTCATAACAGGCTTTTTAAAAATTTTTTATATTGTTGTCTGAGGTCAGCTTATGACGTTCACTTGGTTTTTACATTCAAAAACATCAAAATGAATAAGTAATAGGCAATTTTCTACCCTAGTTTTGAGCGTAGCTCAAAAACGCTCGGTTTTTATGGGCGTCTCGCATTGAAGACTTGGAAGTAAACGCCCACTGCTGTGAGTGGAGAACAGTTTTGCATATTATAATGAGTTTCAACTCACTCACTTATGCAGCGACTGTCTTCTTCCACAAACAGGCACTGCACAATATTCTGTATTGCTCGGTAGCTCGATCCGGTTTGTCATCACGAGGTAGGAATCTATGTTATTTAGCTATGCGTGTAATGCGCAAATCGGTGGGCGGGCTAAACCGGCCGTGTTGAAGTAGGCGTTGATCTTCTTCTGCGGGGGTGGTGTTTTATCCTCTTTGACGTCATAGTTCCCCACTTTGTAAAACGAGTCGTTTGCTGAGCCTGGTGTCAATAAAAGCTTTTATTGGACTAACAAGGACGTTTTCAGATCTGAAACTTACAGGATATTCTTATAATATGATGACTTCTTAAATGTCAAAAGCTCAAGGAAAAATTTGATTTCTCAGTTCATCACCCCTTTAAAAATCATGCTCGCCAAATGTTTGCTAAATTATGAATGTATCAATGTCCTTTTCCTTTGCTCAGTTCTGCACACGGGTAAGAGGTGGTTCATCATCTGCCCTGTGGAAGAGGCTCCTGGTGCCAGTCGGGATGCATCTTCAGATGGAGGTCCATCTACACAATCTCCATCCACAACAACAATAACTGATGGGACAGCCACTGCTCAGCCTGAGAGTTCTTCAGCCCATCCTCCTGAACCCAGCACAGGATCTGCTTCAGCATCCATGGGTAATGTCTGGCTAAGACACAACTTAGTGTAACTGATACAGATACAAGGAACTATTAGAAATAGGAATGGACTGCCATTTATAGGGCTGATTATTGCAAAATACCTCACGGTCAAGATTCATTGCTTCAATGATCTTGATGCATCACAATATCATAATCATACTGGGCTTGAGCAAGAGAGACCCAGCTTGTTTAATGAGAGAGTGTGAAACTGTGAAATCAGATTCATTCTCTGTTATGTGGTTTGCTTCAAAACTCTAATCAACTTTCTAAACTTTCTAATCAAGCTGTGAAATAATGCGTTCAGAAATTCAAAAATAATAGGTTTTAAAAAAGTCTCTGCAATATTGTGATTGGTGAGAATCCTTATTATGTCGTCACAGCCCTACTCTAATCAAAAAGAGTAAAATTTAGGATATGTTTTGTTACCTTCCACAGATTCAGAAGCCTGTGCGACAGCACCTCCATCAGGAGGAAGTGATCCCTTTGGGGTTTGGAGTCCCCTCTCTCTGACCACTACTGATCCTTTTGCTCTGGCTGCTCTTCCCCAAGCCCCCCCTGCTCCGCAAGCCGCTGTAATGCCAGCTCGTTCTGCTTCCCATTCAGAGGAAATGCCAAATTTGGGCTCCGCCCCGGTCAATGTGCAGCAATCCCAGCCATGCATGGATCCTCAAAGCTCTGTTTTTGTGGATGAGACCCAGAGATTAGGCTCTGTCTCCCCTATGCACACTGCTCAGCAGATGGCTGAAATCGCATGTGCCGTCTCCATGGTGGAGGACGTGCCCTGCTGCCCGCTGGTCATGCCGATGTCCCTAGAAGTGAGCAGTGGGGCTCAGAGACCATCCTCTGTGATGCCAGCACAATCACAAGACACTACGTCTGCTCGCGAACAACTCCAATCCATTACATCTAGTCGAGTGGAACGTGCCCAGCAGCCTGTGGTGTTGCAGCAGCCTGTGTCCACTGTGAGTGGAACTAAGGCACCTTCCCTGCCCCAAAGCCCTGCTCCTTCCCAGCATCACTTTGTTCCCAGTGAATCAGATGGAGAGGGACGTGGCAGAGGAGGGTTTGTAGACAGCACTATCAAGACACTGGATGAGAAACTGAGGAATTTACTGTATCAAGAGTACGCTCCCATGTACCCATCGGGAAGTGCTGCTGAAACTCCAGGATCTGGCACAGAGTATATCCAATCCCCACCAGGACCAGAGTGTGCGCTGGGAGGGTCAGGAACCAGCACACCTAGTCTTATGGGAGAGGGACGATTCAGGGCAGGAGAGCAGTTGGTAAGTTTTAAGCTCCATCTGCCATTTTCAGTTTCTTTTATAGACAGTCCCAGGATTTTTAAATACAATCTGGTTATTAGGTATGGGGCATGGGTAAGTTTTTACATTTTTCTATGATCTTACCTATGGCTATTACCAATAGATATTCCCTAATTTTTAATTCATTTTCAGCATGTCTTACTTTTTTTTTAGTTTGAGGGTATTTAGAAGTTAGGATTGTGTTTGATGGATCTAAAAACATTTGCTTTTTGCCTCTTAGCCACAGATTCCAGAGCGTGTGGACAGTTTAAGTGCTCTCAGTGACTCTGCCGTTGGAGGTTAGATGATATTTTTTATCTTATTTTTTTTTCTTAAAGGGATACTCCACTTTTTTTGGCTCATTTTACAACTCCCTCAGAGTTAAACTGTTAAATTTTTTTTTTTTTTTTTTAAATGTTGAATTTTACCGTTATTGGATCCATTCAGCCTTTCTCCGGTTCTGGCGGTACCACTTTTAGAATAGCTTAGCATACATCATTGAAATGGACAAGACCATTAGCATTTCTCAAAAAAATGACCAAAGTGTTACGATATTTTTCCTATTTAAAACTTGACTCTTCTGTTACATTGTTCACTAAGACCAACGGAAAATGTAAAGTTGCGATTTTCTAGGCTGATATTGCTAGGAACTATACTCTCAATCCTGCGTAATAATCTTTACTGCCGTACCATTAGTGCGGCAGGCATAATGAAATGACGCAGCGCCTAAAAATAGTCCCCAGCTTGGTAACTTCCAACGTTTGTGTAGTCATTACGCCTGCGGCACTCATGGTACGGCAGTAAAGTTTCTTGATTATTACGCAGGAATGAGAGTATAGTTCCTAGCCATATAAGCCTAGAAAATCACAACTTAACATTTTCCTTTGGTGTTAGTGCACGATGTAACTACAGAAGAGTCAAGTTTTAAATAGGAAAAATATCTAAACACTTTGGTCATTTTTTTTTTTTTTTTTTTTGAGAAAGGCTAATGGTCTTGTGCACTTCAATGATGTATGCTAAGCTATGCTAAAAGTGGTACCGCCAGAACCGGAGATCGGCTGAATGGATTCAAAAACGGTAAAACTCAACAGTTTAACTCTGGGGGAGTTAAATGAGCCTATTTCAAAAAATAAAAAGTATAATATCCCTTTAAGAGAAACGTTCTTCGAGAAAAATATATAATTTACAAACAATAAGAACTCCTTGAATAAAGCCATCTTTATCCACAGTTACTGTGTCAAGGAGACACGTGATGCCACACTCTGCCTCTTGCTCTGGATCTAGAAGTCGATATAAGGTACATTATGTACAGCTGATTTGTGCAGAAAAATATAGGTTTAAAGATTTCCAGTTTAATAATCTAGGTGCCCACATCGAGTTAGTCCATTTTCCCCCCAAATATTGAATTTTTATGAGGAGATAAAGGTTGTACATATGAAATATACTGTCAGTATTTTGTCTTCCTATTTTGTTTGATTACTCTGCATTAGATGATGCCTAGCTCCACTGACATCCTGTCAGGTCAAGGTCGAAAGCAGCGCAGCCTGAGCAGCACAGCATCTCCAGCGCACCCTGGTGGCTTTTTAGGAGAATGCGCCGTGTACGAAGAGCCGGCTGTTTCTGCCACCACTGTCGGCAGGTTCTCAGTTGTCAGCACAGAAGATGAGGTCACGCGCAGAAAGCTCAGCAGCAGATATTCTGCCCCACCTGACTTTTATCTAGACGCCCCACCTCCCCTGACCAAACGAGGCTCTCTGCCAAGGGCACAGACCTCAGTCTCAGCGGATGTCACCGTCCACAACCGCTTCATGTCTTCTGACTCCGGGGCGGAGAGCAGCCCCGCCAAAATGGCACCTACAACCCCGTCCCGCCATGGGAGGTCTGAAAGGAGAGGAAGTGACCTCATGAAAAGGGCGGTGGCTTTTCTAAAGCGCTCGGGCCGCAGCAGCAGTGTGCAAAGCTCTGATTCGCCAAGCAGAAAGGGAGGGGTGTATGGATCCTATGTCAGCAGTGACAATGACTCCGAGATGGAGGATTCTGATATAAAGAAGGAGCTTCAAAGACTAAGAGAAAAGTGAGTTTATCAAGTGTCTGTGTGTATTTATGAAATAAAAATGACTCACCATTGCTTGCTTCATCTTTGTACAGGCACATGAAAGAGATAACCGAATTGGAGGCCAATCACAGAGAAGAGGTGGAGCTTCTTTATATGAGATTAGGGAAACCACCCCCTCCAGGTCTTTACATCCCGCCCACAGCACCCCCTGCTGGACGCAAGCGCAAGACCAGCAGGCACAAACTAAAAGCTGGCAAACTGCTCAGTCCTCTAGTACAACAGCTGAGAAATGTTGCCTCTAAAACTAGCGACTCCAGCAAACCTAATGATTTGACAAAATCAGGTTAGTTGGAGTGTTCAAATATCTCCATACATAATGAAGACATTTATAAAGTACTTTAACATTTGGATTCTACCCAAGAGGATTATAACATGTCATTTTCTCTTCCAGCTGAAGCTGCCCTGAGCTTGAATGGTTCTCCTGCTAGAGCTTCCAACTTGTCAGATGGCAAGGCTTACTCTGGGACCGGGACTCTGCCTTGTTCTGTGTCTGAGCCGGTTCACACCCAACAGCCCTGCTCTCTCAAAGGATCTCTCTCCTCCGACAACATCTACTCTGGTCTACAGGGAGAAGGACATGGGCTGCCCAGCCAGCCGGCCCAAGGTGACTTTAACTCTGACTTCCCAGCAGTCTAGTTTGGTAGCAAACCTTGAATGATTAATTGATTTTTCTAGTCAATGTAATTTGATCACCCATCTGTACTGAAAGAAAAACATAAAATTAATAATAATAATTTGTTACGTTGATATAGTGCTTTTCTGGGTACTCGAAGCGTTTTACATAGATAGAAGGAGGGAATCTCTTCAACCAATGTGCTGCATCCACCTGGATGATGCGACGGTGGCCATATTGCACCACACACCAGCTTACTGGTGGAGAGGAGACAGAGTAATAGAGCCAATCAGTATATGGGGATGATTAGGAGGCCATGATGGGCAAATTTTGCATGGCTGCCGGGGTTACATCCCTTCACTTTTTTAAAGGACATCCTGGGATTTTTCAGACTGATCTCATGAAGTAGCGTGTGTATGACACGCCAATTCGTATTTCCATTTTTGGCATGCTATCAACACGCATAATCGCTTTTCAGCGTGTTTATGAACACCGTTGACTTAACGTTATTACTGTATATATAAATCTATGACTTACCTCAACCCCGCCCCTAAACCTACCCGTCACTGGGGTTAATGGCATTTATGACTGTTCCCTTACCATCCTAGGAAAAAAAAAGATAGCTCCCCAGATGTAGATCTACATTTTGCTTCATTTCGCGCGGACATTTGACGGCGTGTACAGACGCGCGGAATCACTCGGACGTTAATGCCGTAGACATACACGCGGATAGCTCAAAATGCGTAGAGATAACACGCCACTTGACTAGAAAGTGGCGTGTATGTTTACGCAAAAGTCATGATGTCATGTTGGATTTTTAATGACCACAGAGAGTCAGGACCTCAGTTTAACGTCTCATCCGAAGGACTGTGCAAAAAGTATAGTGTTTCCAATCATCGTTAGGTCCCAAAACAGACCACAGGGTGAACGCCCCCTGCTGGCCTCACTAACACCTCTTCCATCAGCAACCTAGTTTTCCCAGGAGGTCTCCCATCCAGATACTGACCAGGCTCAAACCTGCTTATCTTCAGTAGGCAACCAGTCTTGGGCTACAGGGTGATATGGCTGCTGGTGCTTACATTGATAATTTTATGAAATTTTAGACATGAAATCCCATTTTTATAGAATCCTCAAGGCGAAAATGAAAGTCAAGCAAATTCAATGGGGCTTTTACATTGATGCTTTGACATCTTATGAATCTATTAAAATAATGTTGTTTTTTTTCTTCTTGCTCTTTCTCCCACCTCTGCACTTCTGTCCGCAGGCTGGCCTCCTTCTCCCCAGGCGTCTGCACAGGTCACCTATAAATCCAGCAGTAAACCACGCGCTAGATTCCTCAGTGGGCCTGTTTCTCTGTCCATCTGTTTGTATCTCTCTCCTTTCCACCATTTTCCATATCATATCTTGGGAGCCCCTGCCAACTTTCTCCCACTCTGTTCTTCTCTTCTATCAATTATTTATCAGTATTCATGCTTCATCTTTAATTAATCCTGGTTTTCCATCCTGTGTTTTTTTCTTTCCTGATTCTTTCTATCCTTTGTTTATCCCAACAAAATTCAGTTTTATTCAATTGTCTTGTTTTTTTATGTCAATGATGCTTCTAGATACTTTAACTAGTTACGCAACTTGAAAGTATTAATCTCACTTTAATTTAACTTTTGCAAGCCTAAAACCAACACTGTGACTTTAAACTGTGTTCACAATGTTATTTCCTTTCTATTTTCAGTGTTACTTTGATTTCTAATAGCTTACCCTTTTATTTCAGTTCTAACTTTTAAACGATAAATTATATGTTCCACCTCTTTATATGTCTCTGTGTGCTGCGATTTTCTACAGAAAACTAACTTGAACTTTTCTTTTTGTAGGGTCAACCCTTAAACGCCTGTGTCTGGGTAAAGAACGTGGCAGCAGTAAGTATTGTCTTTTCTTAATTTCAACACTTCATACTTTTAAAATACAATTTGCCTCAGCTGAAACCTTGTTACTCCAACTGTTATATGGGATATAAAAAACTAAATTTAACTCTATGGACATATTACAACCACCATAATAGCATAGACCTAAAACATATTTAATAAAGTATATGAACACAAATATTTCTATCCAAATTTCTCAGGGTTGCAGTTTAAAAAGTGTCAGCTCCCAATTTATAACACCTCAGATATCACATTCTCTGTTTTCAAAAGGAGTGAAAGCTCTCTACCCCCCCCTTGAGTACTTGTTACTGCAGTTGTCAGTTATATATAATTGGACACACATTTGCTTTATGTTGGCAAAGCATTTGCATCTGAGTATTTACCTCGTTTTTGACAGAGTTGACTAGTTTTACTTAATTTTAGAGGTTTATTAATAATCTATTTATAGTTAAATAAATTATTTTAAGGGTTAGTTCACTCAAAAATGATCAATCTGTCACTCATTTCTCACCCTCATGTTGTTCTGAGGCTGAAGTGTTTTTTCAGTGATTTTAATTTTTTAAAGAGACACAAATATTTCCGCTTTATACACTGAACAGATTTAATTTAGGCTTTTATTCACATATAAACATTCATCAAAGCACACATCATTTGTGTGAAATGGAAGCTCAAGCATGTCACTTGATGTGCGATAACCAAAGAGGTCCATTCTCATGTTAAGCAGGTTTAGTTGAGCTTCTGTTTCTGTTTGCTCATCAATGTTGAATGAAAGTCTAAATTCAATCTGTACATCAGTCATAAAGCGATCGTGTCTCATCAGAAAATATGGACTAAACAGCTCAGTTCATATGGATTATTTTTACATTCTCTTTGTGAACTTTTTGAAGCGTCAGCTGTCAATTGAGTACAGAACTGGTTTAGATTTTATTAAATGTGTTCTGAAGATGAAGGAAAGTCTTATGCGTTTGTAACAACACAAGGGTGATTAAATGATGATAGAATTGAATTTTGGGGTGAACTAACCATTTAATGTAATCAAAGAAGGTATGGATTGCATTTCAGCTCTTTTTGTGCAATTCATACATCTCAAACCAACTTGTTTCATAGGATCTGGAGCAGCATCAGCTGCCTCTAATCAGTCCCCAATGCCTCCTGGATCAACTCCTCCTCCTCACCAGCCAATCGGTCTTGCCCAAGCACAGACTAATAACAGCAACAACAAGACAGATGATGCACTCACACAGCAGCTTCAGAGACTCATGGATAACTGGGCAGAAGGTTTAAGGAAACCTTCACGCTCACAATCCCTCAGTCTAAGACCACAGCAACTGAATCGATCCCGGATCTGGAGCGCTATAGAGGTGAGATTAAAAAAAACATTCTGACATTATTTACTCACCCTCGTGATGCAATAAAATTCTTCAAAAAAATTTTTTCAAAAAAGAATGATGACTGAAGTTTGTGATGATGAATTTATGGCTCGTTAAAAAAAGGTTGGTGCTTACTAAGAAAGATATTCCGTGACGTCTTTTCTTTAGGCTCCGGTTTCAACAGAAAGATTGAACGCTTCCCAACTGCCTCTTTCATGGCCGCAGATTGATTTCCATGCCCATGTGATGGCGACTGACACTACACAAGTACTCCAGCGCAGTTTTTTGGTGCCCGGCAGCTGTTACGGAAAGATGCTGAATGCCCAACGCCTAGACATGGACTACTGGCCAACAATGACTGGCAATCTTAACCAAGAAGTCTTTGCTTTCCCTGCTATGCACTCTCCTTCTTGGACAGCACCTTCGTCCCCCAGCGAGGTTCCTAGTTCTAGAAATAGGACCATGTAGCTTTACCATCACTGTACCTATTCTTCTTACTGTCGCCGAAAATACTTTAGTTTCTTTAGAGTGCTGGTTAGGCCTTTCAGTGTGCAATTCAATCTGTTAAAGTTGCTAGCATGTAGTCGCATGTAGTAATCCCACTCGAACATGTAAATATTCAGGCTAACAATGTAGGCATATGTGATGAATTAGTGATGTACATTGAGTATTATTGTATATAGCCTATGTAGCATCTCTGAATTTTAGCATAGGCATATGTACAGAACGTATATTTTTCATCAAAATTTGTTTAGCTTGCTTGTGTCCTTAACTCTGAGCTGTATACATAATGTAAATGCTATAAGGTAACATGCTCTTATATTTGGGTAGGTGTGTATAGACACTGTTTATAATATCTTCTGTAAATATAAGCTCTGTCTGCATATGTGCATAAACCCGATACGTGAATGAAGGTGAGGTTTAGGTTAATCGGTGGCTTGGGTTGAATTGAATCACAGCTGGGTGACAACACTGGAGCGATGATCATGACATCACTGTGAATTTTTCACTCCGTCCTGCAGCGATCACTAATTTCACAATGCGCTGGTCAGCAAAACACATTATCGTATGCTAGAAAAGTAACGACCACGAACTGCACTGAGAATCAAGAGAGAACTTTAACAGACTGTACATTTCAGGTGAACAAGCCTGCAAGAGTGCCTTGAAATGCAACTGCAGACTGTGCTGCGTACCAGCCAATGTACCCAGGGTAAAGGTGACTGCTATTAATCCTGTTACCAAGCATAATAACTACTAAATTCATGTTTTCCCCACATGCAGTTTATGATGTCCTTTATGGGCGTTTATAAAATGCTTTTCAACACTACATGGTACAATTTTTTTTTTTTTTTTAAAGGTGTGTGCATTTATTATTAGGAGTATATTTTTCTTTATACATGTTCTATATCTTCTGAAACAGTAAAACAGTTGCATTGGTTTAGAGGAAAAGTGTTTTCAAAACTGTAATGCCATCAAGTGATCTTTTGAATCGAAGATTTACAATGAATGAAATGAGCGAAATGATCTCCGCTGGTGCAGTCGTTTGGTTCCTAATGCCATCTGTTAGATCTCAATGATACTTTTTTATTTATTAATAATGCTAATATTTAAGTTTCGACTAGAGTGTTTTAGAAGACACTGACTGATGCTTTGCAACATAAAAGACCATGGCTACCCAAAATTATTAACTGTTAACAATTAAATTTGAGTTTTGAAATATAGTCATTACTAATAGACAAACATCTGTACAAGTTCTGGGAAGTTATATGTGTCATAACAAACTCTATACTTAAACTGACAAATGTGCTGTAGAAAGTCACATGATGAAGTACTGAAATCTGGCAAAATCTGCTCATATACACTTATTCTATACTTGTATATCAAATTATTGAAACAGGTTGTAGTTTTTTCAAATGGTGTTACATATGGAAGTAAATAAGTGGCATTAGATCTCATCTTGCACTAAGCAGAGGTGTAGCAGGTCATTGTTTTTTTGTCATGGTAATTGGTGCTATAATGTATGATAGTGACCTTTTATATTTCTATCAGTCTGTTTATTTTCTGAAAAGTCTATATAGAAAAAAAATATGCTATCTTAAATCTGAGCCATGTTCATTTTTTTTATCCCTTCATTTCAAATGGGATATGAAACAGTTCATTAATCTGTTTCAATCGCTTAAAGTTAATTTTGTTACATATTTTCAGAAATGTCAGCCTTGTACAAACAAACCAATAAAAAATAGGCAATGTGACGTCAATGTAACAATTTATTTCATGGCAAAAAGTACCGCAGAAGTTTACTGAATAACTTTGCCATACCATTATTTTCAACAGATGCATACAATCAGTAGCCTGACTTCGTCATATTCATGAGAGAATATGAGTCTGAAACTCCTCCGGACTGAGAAGGTGTCCTCTCCATGTGAGGTGGAATTGGTCTGTGGAAGCTGGGACTTTTATTTTTATGATTTTCTGAATGTATGGACAAAACAGGTAATATATAAAATTTGGGGGGCTCTTATTTTGTAAAACAACATCAGAATGTCCTGAAACTTTGCAGGGGACACATTGAGAAGGTGTCCTCTCCAGTGTTGGGAGTAACGCATTACAAAAGTAATACATTACAGTAACATATTACTTTTTGCTGTAACGCAGTAGTGTAAGGCATTACTAATCAATTTTCAGTAATATTTTACTCGTTACATGTTCAGTGAGGCTTGTATTACAGTTGTATTACAGTGAGGCTTGACTTTTAGTTTTAATTAAAAAAAAACAAAAACAGCAAGATTGTGAGAATGGAAAATGCAAGTAGGCTAAGTTACCTGTTCGTGGTCAGTCAATAGCCACGTGTGGTGTCCGAGTTTGTAAATAAAGGCTGATATATCTGTATAGCGATTTATTTTCTACAGGAGTGCGGTGAGGCATAATTTCGGCCTCTGTGTTCGCGCTGGCCAGTGGAAAAGCGCCTAATGGGTGAGGGTGGCATGAAGAAGACCACATTCGTGAGATGGACATATGCACATTAGGCTATTCGTTCTGTGTTTTCTTTTTAAACAGTTAGGCTATGTATAGGTGGTATCTGTCATGTTTTCCTCACGCAATAATTTTTTTGATGCGGTGGTGACATGCTCATGTAGTAAGGGTGGCGATAATAAAGCTCCTAAAAGCTGAAAAATCAAAGATTATGAATATGTCAAATATGCCTAGCAAGAAGACTTGAATTGTTTAGTAATAAAGATGAAGTTGACGATGCTGACTCACTATCTTCGCAGTAGGCTAGTTCTACCAGAAAGACTCGGGAGATAAATTGAAAAGCAGTATACATTTATTGACAGCTCAGCAAGCTTAAATGTATGAGTTCTTTTGCGTAGGCCCCGTCCTTAGCGAGCATAGCGAGGTTAGCCGAATCTGCATACCCGCCTGAGATGAAGGCGGGGGCGCAGCCGACCCCCTGGAGGTAAGGAAGGGACCATCCTGGTGGTGGTGATGGGGAGGATGGAGGTGAATGGCAGCGTCAGCATCTGCGAACTCAGACAAGTGTAAGTACCAATCTTTTATACTGAGATCAGTGATGCGCGGGTTGATCCGAAATGAGCGGGTGCCTGCGGTCACCCGCGGTTACCCGCAGTTGGGTCATCCAAAAATGTTTTTAATGATATTCGGGTCGCGGTCGGTCGGGTCGTTTGAAAAAAGATGCCAATTAAATATTTGTATTAATATAGTAGCCTACTAGACACAATTTTTGATGAAATATACAGCCCTACACATTATTGGCTGAATACTGGCACGAAGATAACACACAAGCTCAGTCTAAACAGTTCTCGGTTCTGGTGATTCGAGAACCGCTGTCCCGGACTCCCTGTGCGTTCGGTAGTAGCCAACACAGTATCTATGCGCAGTATCAGCTGCTCGTGCTCATCACTTCTCTCAACAGTGGCACCAACATGTCTCGGTTCAGTGAACTGTTGGAGTTACTGGAGTAGGGAAATTCAGGATATTGATTTATTTCGATTCGGATGGACTGTCAGGCATGTCTGAAAGTGAGTAACTTTAGTGACTTGTGGTTTAGCGCTGACGCAAGACGCGAACTGTTTCGAACGATTCAGTTCGATTTAGTGTACTGGTTCGACCGGTTCACTAAAAAGAACCGGTTCAAAAGAACGATTCGTTCAAGAACCGGCCATGTCTATGATCACAGTCTGCAGAGAGATGGAGGCGGCAAGAGAAAAGGTGAAGACTGGGGAGTGGAAGCTCCGCAAATACACAAATAGAAAGAGTAAAAGTGTGGGAGACATTTGCTGAAATAATGAAAGATGATGACTGGCTTTGCCTTTGTTATGTGTAGGCCTACGTCTTCTTGCGATGCTGTGTTGTTACACGTCTATGGCCCAATAACGCTCCGATGAGCATTTGCTATTTTTAAAAAATGCGGTCAGGAAGCGGGTCGGGTACAATATTTTTTTTTACTTTTTTTTGCGGTCCGAGTTGCGGGCGGGTAGTTGAAAACGTCGGTTGGTTGCGGGTTGTTTATACATTGACCCGCGCATCACTGACTGAGATTGTTAACACCTGATTGAGGAATGAAGGTAATACATGACGCGCTGATTGAGTCTTCCTGACAGAACTTTAAGCTAAAGCTTTCATTGAATGCGAAATGCACATTTCATTTCTTAAGCAGAGAGCAGTCTGGTTTTTTTTTTTTTCGTTTTGAATTGTTCTGTTTACAAGTAGACATTTCAGTATAGATATATTTTTCAACTGCAGTCAAGCCAGCCTCCAGTTCTAAATGAGCAGTCAAACTAGCCGCCCCTATATTTCTTTATGCGCTTATACACTAGCTATTACGGTAAGACCGTCAACCTTTCTGAAACTGAAAACATTGATCTTCCAGCGAAGGCTATTTAATTTATTCCGTCCGTCCGTCTGTCTATCTGTCTGTCTATCTATATATTCTGCCTATAACTATATAACTATATTCTATCTATCTATAACATTCTGATGTTATTTTACAGAATAAGAGCCCCCCGTTTTGTCCATACATTCAAAAAATCATAAAAATAAAAGTCCTAGCTTCCACAGACCAATTCCTTCTCAGATGGAGAGTACACCTTCTCAAGGTGTCCCCTGCAAAGTTTCAGGACATTCTGATGTTGTTTTACGAAATAAGAGCCCTCCAAATCTTATATATTTCCTGTTTTGTCCACGCATTCAGAAAATCATAAAAATAAAAGTCCTAGCTTCCACAGACCAATTCCACCTCAGATGGAGAGGACACCTTCTCAAGGTGTCCCCTGCAAAGTTTCAGGACATTCTGATGTTGTTTTCCATGGATAGATAGATAGATAGATAGATAGATAGATAGATAGATAGATAGATAGATAGATAGATAGATAGATAGATAGATAGATGGATGGATGGACGGACGGACGGATGGACGGAATAACTGAAATCGCTTTTGCTGGAAGATCAATGTTTTCAGTTTCAGAAAGGTTGACGGTCTTACCGTAATAGCTAGTGTATAAGCGCATAAAGAAATATAGGGGCGGCTAGTTTGACTGCTCATTTTGAACTGGAGGCTGGCTTGACTGCAGTATTTTTCAGGTCTGTGGAGTAGGCTATATAGACGCTTTCATCAGACGCGTTGCCATGGTGATGAGCTGGCCCAAAGTTAACTTCCGTTCTGTTCGTTTATTAGTGTTTACTGGATAATATGGCATTGAATGCAGTGAAAGTTAAGGCGATGAGCAGGTTGGTGAGCTGTGGGGTGCAACCTGACCTTGGGAGCAAACGCAATTTTTAAAAAATAAAAATGTCAAGGTTTCCTATGAGGGAGACGGCGGAATTAAAAATAGCCAGTGTTGTGCAAGTTACTTTCAAACTGTAATACATTAGGTATTACTTGTTACTGTCATTTAAAAGTAATTCATTACCTTACAATATTACTCTCTCAGAATTGTAATGCGTTACATTACTCATGTATTACTTTTGAGTTACTTTCACCAACATAACTATACAGAAGTAGAACTTAACTTTGGGGCTGTAACCCCAGCAAACAAATTTAGGTTTTGGGAACGTTCTGGGAATGTTAGTTTTTAGTTCCCAGAACGTTCCTAGAACTTTCCCTTAAGGTTAGGGGAACGTTCCCAGAACGTTCTCCTTATGTTATAAAAATGGAACCTAAAAATAACCTACATGGAACGTTCCTATAACGTTCTTGTTTGGTTCTCAAAAAAAATAACCTCATGGGACCATTCGGGAACGTTAGGGGAACGTTCTGTGTTTGCTGGGACGATATTTAATAGGCTATGAAACCGAAATCGCGATTCGCCACACTCAGATCCACAAACCTACAGAATGGCGACACACCTCTTCCAACTTCCAGCGTTATTCTCCTTACCGTCCAGATCCAATGCTACCATATCTTTAAATTAGGCTATTTGAAGTTAACATTATAAAATACGTAGACCTACTCCATAAAACTAATTGAGGATAAATTATTTAAAATTGGGGAAGTCCAGCATTATGGACATGACATTTGCAGTCAAAACTTGAAATAAAAATTCTCAGAAAATACATGTATTGAAACGTAGACTGCTCCGCTTCGCGTCGTGCCTAACAACGCCCTTCAGCCGTTACTTATTCACGATACAGCACAGCCTCTCGTACCTTATTGCTTACTTAAACACACCTGCACAAGCTAATCAAGGTCTTCAGGGTTATTGGAAAGCCACAGGCAAGTGAGTTTTTATCAGGTATGGAGAAACTCTGCAGGACAGTAGCTTCTGGGCCGCAGTTGCCTCTCATGACAAATATGTAGAACATTGCTGATTGTATACTTTTAAATAGCATTTTAAATTTTGAATTTTGCATTGCAATTGACTGATTTTTTGACAGCTTGTCTGATTTGTGGAGAGGAATTTCCTTTTTCACAGATGAGATCACAATCATACGGAAGCCCTGAACCGCAACCTAAAAAAAAACGAGGCTTGTTCAGGTACAAATTTACATCTAAAAAGGTACTCTTTTTTTTTTTTCATGTGTTCTTCTCATGGTTGAAAATGGTCTTTGTACCCCTCCAGCAGTGATGAAGAACAAAAACACTAACCAAAGTTCATTTTTACTGACCAGAACTGTATTTTGCATTATTTAAGAAAATATATAATTTAAACAATAGGCTACCATTAATCTGGTTTTGCATATTTGTAACTGAAATTGTGTAGATAATAGTGTAAAAATCACATAGAAGTTGACT